CAACTCACGGATTGAGAATGGGTGGTATTGGACCAGTGTCTTTCGCTATTGTGTTGCGGGCATGTGTTTTGCAAAGCTTCTAACACCTACACGGATTGAGAGGTTTTGTTTCCTTCTGGCAGAACAATGATCGTCGTGTTCATTCGTCTCAAAAGCTTCCAATACCTACACGGGCGGTGGGTAGGACGTTTTTACAATGTGGTGTTGGCTGTAGTGACGCATGCACTTTTTGAACATGCGTTTACAATGTGCACGGATACAGGGCGGGCCGTTTTCAGAGCGTGATTTGGGCTTCAACGTTGCGCAGATGGGCCTTGAATATGTCCATCATGTGTGCAGATGGTCCGCGGATCGTTTCTTTATTGAGGCTCTCGCTTGATACGTCCTCTACTTTTGCCACCAGATGCTCAAACATCTCCAATGGCTACACGGACGGAGGGCTGCCCCCTTCCGAAACAGGGGTCTAGTTTGGCACTCCAGATGTTCTCGCCGGGTATGTGAAGTTGTTCAACAATTTCACGGGTGGAAGGCAGGTTTGGTTCATTTGTGTTATCGTTGGAAATTTCTTTGAGCATTCGTATTAAAACTCGAGGTGCCCCTTCCAGCTAGAAGTATGGACGGTGGTTCATTGTCAAGGTTGGACTGTCGCTTGCACGACAGCCATGGGGCGCTCTTCTTTCAAGGAGGCGCTTGCCGCAGTGAACATGATGGAGACTTGTGTGTGGGGGGGCTTGAGACGGGAAGGCGTATTGCAGCATCGTTGATCCATCTTGGGATCTGATCTGGCCATGCTCATCCCTCCTCCCGATCGCCCCTCCTCATCCGCCCTCCTCCTCCTCCTCCGCCCCACTCAGTTGCGTAAGCTCGCCAAGGAATGCGTGACTCCGCTAATCCTGACAATACCTCGATCGAATTTCCCGAGGCCTCACGCTCAAAGTTCTCAGCAGAGCCGAGAGGGCGACCAGGTCCTCCTGCTCAGTTTGAACGCGCCTCGCGATCGGTCTTATCTTATCCTCTCCTCTCCTGCCTTCTCCTCCCCCCTCCTCCTCCCTCCTCTTATCTTATCCCCCCTCTCCTCCCCTCTCCTCCCTTCTCCTCCTCCCTCCTCCCCTCTCCTCCCTTCTCCTCCTCCCTCCTCCCCTCTCCTCCTCCCTCCTCCCTCCTCCCTTCCCTCCTCCTCCCTCCTCCCTCCTCCTCCCTCCTCCCTCCTCTCCTCCCTTCTCCTCCTCCCTCCTCCCTCCTCTCCTCCCTCCTCCTCCGTCTCCCCCTTCCCCCTCCTCCTCCCCCCCCCCGCGCCGCTCGCGCGTCTTGGGAGAACCTGTGGAAGCTGCCCTTCCGCACGCGGCGCGAAGTCTACCGCCACTGGCTGCTGGAGGCGCGCGGCCGGCCGCCCCCGCGGAACTCCTCTGTGCCTCAGCTCCTCGGGGCGCGAGGGCTCCTCCTGGTGCCAGAGGCACTTCCTTCGGTAAGGGGCCACACGCGAACCCTACCCCTACCCCCCCCACGATTTCAGAGGGGAAGGGCGGGGTTCGCTTCGCTCGGGAGCTCTCGAGCGAAGCGAACCCCACCCTCCCCTTCAGAAATCGTGGGGGGTAGGGGTAGGGTTCGCATGTGGCCCCCTATTCGGGGGCCTAGGGAGGAGGAACGAGGAGGGCGGAAATAGGAGGAGAGGAGGAGGAGGAGGAGGAGGAGGAGGAGGAGGAGGAGGAAGAGGAGGAGGAGGAGGAGAAGGAGGAGGAGAGGAGGAGAAGGAGGAGGAGGAGGAGGAGAGGAGGAGGGAATGGGAGGAGAGGAGGAGCGGAGTAGGAGTAGGAGTAGGAGGAGGAGGAGGAGAAGGAGGAGGAGGAGGAGGAGGAGGAGGGGCAGGCCGCAAGTCTGAGTGGTCGGTGCCCCTTCCCCCCACGGGGACCTCTTCGTCTCCGACCTTGGGGCCAGAGCAGAGGTTTCGGAGGTGGATAGACCTTCCACCCTGACACGTCGATTAGCGAGTTGGCCGTTTTCGGCTCGCGGGAGGGCGTCGCGGCCGTCGTTCTTGCGGGTCCAGGTCCGTCGGTTTCGGTCCGAGGCCGTTTTCGCTAAAGGGTGGTTTTCGCTAGAGGGACTTCCTTCAGGGGCCTACACGTTGTTCATTTCTAAGTACTCGGAAGTTCTTTGATTTTTTGGGGGTCAAGACTCTTTCACTTCTGATTGTGCTATCCTCGGCCTCTTCCTGGCCACTAGGGGGCCAGGAACAATTAGAAACGAACAGCATTAGAAATGAGCACGATTAGAAATGAGTCGCAAAATGGAACATCTACATTGCCAGTGGCGGGTTGTTTTTCCGATCCCACGACTTTTTGAGGGTCGGGGACGACGTCGGGGTGGTGTGGTGTATACTTTTCCCCCGTTTTCCCAGGGAAACAGCGAAACATGTATGCACCATGATCCCGTATACACCAGGATCCGCGTTCCTGTGCGAATTTCAGCGCGAGGGACTTCCTTCAAGGGCCTACACGTTGTTCATGTCTAATTATTCGAAGGCTCCTGGATTTTTGTGGGGCCAAGACCCTTTCATTTCTGATTGTGCTATCCTGGGCCTCTTCCTGGCCACTAGGGGCCAGGAACAATTAGAAACGAGCAGAATTAAAAACGAGCACGCTTAGAAATGAACGACGTGTAGAGGTTGACACCAGCACCAGTATCGGCGGTGTACCTCCACCGAGGGAAGATGATCCCGATCTCGGTGATGGTGGTAATATTTGGGCTCCCTAGGTCGCCGGAAGACACCAGAATCTAGGATAATCTTCCCACAGTGGACGCACCCCCCGGTATTGGTGCGCATACCCATTTCCAAGCTTCCAACTCCTCGAAGGCAGCAGCATGTCTAGAACCGAGGAAGCGCAAACATGAACCAGGGCGCGTGGATCAGCGACGGGCGCCGCTTCCGTCCAGAACCTGCGCGCTCCGTCGCCGAGCCATTCGGCATTGGCCCCACGCTTGGGTCTGGGGGATGCCTCCCCCGATCTGTGGACCTGGCGCCCACGGACCCGCAATCCACGCCAGCGCGTGCCCCATCAGAAAACGCCCAGCCTCCCCACGCGCTTCCTTAGCAGCCTCTGCTCCAAGAAGCGCCCGCGGGGCCTCCTCGGACGGCCGCGCCCCGCTCGCGCCCCCCCCGCCAGAAGCCGCCCCGCCGGGCGCCGAGCGCCGGCGCCCGCCGGAGCACCGGGCGCGGACCCGTGCGCATATCTGGCCTCTTCGATTGTAGGCGATGAAGTCCGATTGAATGCCAGTTCCCCGGATCAGACCAGAGTAAGCCTGGGATTCATTCGCAATCTATCGATATAACGGTATAACTCAGCCGCCGTGACTTGTGCACGTTGACGCGTGGAAGAATGCAAAGGCGGCTCGACAGATCGAGGCCTTCCCGGCCACTGCCGGTGTGCTGCGCCCGGAAGGGCCCGGAAGTGGGCGGGGTGGGGGAGGTCCGTTGCCCTCGGTGGGGCCCTGTCGCAGGCCTGGAGATTGACACCAACACCAGTATCGGCGGTGTGCCTCCACCGAAGGAAGAAGATCCCGATCTCAGTGATGGTGGTAGTATTCTGTCTTCCAAGGTGGCCGAAATAGTACCACCAACACCGAAATCTAGGATTTTCTTCCCCCTTGTGTGGGCAAACCCCTGTGTTGGTGTTGGTGCCCATGTCCAGGCCTCCAACCCTGAGCAGCTCGCAGGTTCGCGAGGCCCGTGCCAGAGGATCGGGGCGGAGGAGGGAGGGGATCGAGAGATCGACTCCTGCAGCTGGTTGCGGCGGCTCCGCCGCCGTGCACCCTCCTCCACCCCTGACTCCTCCTCTTCGGCTGCAGATTCGAGGCCAGGTCGGTCGAGTCCGTCTGTGCCAGAGCCCGAGTCTGCGGCATGTTTACGTGGACACGTTCTGGAACACCTATTTCGGGGCACGAGTCGTCTCTCTCGTTCCTCCTCCTCCTCCTCCTCCTCCTCCTCCTCCTCCTCCTCCTCCTCCTCCTCCTCCTCCTCCCTCCTCCCTCCTGCAGTTTCTGCTTGGACGTTACGCTCGAGTGGTCGCTCACGCAGCTTGGTCTCTGGTATGCTGATCTACTTGCCTGCCAGCCTTCCAGGACCCCAGTTGCGCACAACGGCTCACCTATGGCAGGTTGGCCTGGACGCGGCTCCTCTGCCTCATGTTCCACCTCATCCATACTCCTCTCTCCTCCATGCCCCTCCTCGGCTCTCCTCCTCGGGCCTTGGTGCCACTTTATTGGTCGGGCTGCCTGGTGCCAGCTGCGGCCGCTCAGGTTTCAACTGAGTTATTCCCTCTGCGCTGCGATGATGCATGTTTCATGCACGTGCTTCTTGATCGCGTGGGTGGAACTGCCCTCGTGAGGGGCAGACGACTGTTTGGCCGCATCTAGCGCCAGGAAAAGCAGCCGCGTGAGCTGCTTCGTTGACCCCCACCGTGCCGTGCCGTGCCGTGCCGTGCCGTGCTTAAGTTCTACAAAAGCGAAAAATGTGCCGTGCCGTGTCCGCGTGCCGTACCCGCGTGCCGTGTCGGCGTGCCGTGTCGCGCTTGTGCTCCACAGTGCGAGAAGTGTGCCGCGCCGTGCCTCTGCACTCTGGAGCGATGAGGCTGTCGTGCCGTGCCGCACCCGCGCGCCCTGCCGCGCCGAGGTGTTAAGAGTGCGCAAAGCGTGCTGTGCCGTGCCGTGCCCCTGTTTGGGATCTCGACGTATGGGCCATCCGGTGCCGCGCACGAGCAGGCGAGGGCGGCCGCGTGGCGAATCCACAGCGCACCCACGCGGCGTTTGCGAGCAGTGGCCACGAGCGGCCAGAGGCGGGCACGCGAGGCCTCCGCGCGAATCCCCGACACACATCCAGCAACGACGACGAGCGGCGACGAGCGACGACGACGAGCGGTAATGAGCGGGCACGGGCGGTCGCAGGGCGAATTCTCGATACCCACCTGGCGACTACGAGTGCCGGCGAGCGACGACGACGAGTGGCCATGGGCGGGCGCGGGCGGCCACGGGACGAGTCGTCGACCCACCCATCCAAGTACTTGAATGCTGGGGAAGAGGACGCAAGCGCTCTGGGTTACTTGTGTCTATGTACCCGTATATCTGTCTAGATTTGGGAGTTGTGCATACATGTAGTTACTGGTTTCTGTGTGGGTGCGTGGTTGGAGTGGGGTTCTGTGATCAGGATGATTGTTGATTGTTGTTGTTGTCGTACTCGTTCGCGACCCGCCCGCGATTGCACCACATAGATTGCGCACCACATAGATTGCACCACATGGATTGAGCCCCATCGATTGGACGACATACTTTTCATAACGTATACAGCGCGATATCTACTGCATCACATAGATTGCGTATAACATTGAGCCCCCACATATATTTCATGATACAGATCGCACAACTTATAGTGCAACACATATAGTATCACTTCTAAGAAAAATAGTTTCTCCCCCCCTCCCCCCTGGGGTTAAAGACCCCACGGGAACTGGTGCAAAGCACAGGATTCTGCCCCATCATCCATCCGAAATATGAACTGCCTCTATCCCAGGGGGGGCCGGTATCGCCCCCCCCCCGCCATCCTCTGCAGAAAATACTATGCGCGCACATTCGTTTATCAAAATTCCAAAGTTTTAATAATCCCTTGCAAAACACGGGACGAAGTGCACACGCGCGCGTCGTCGCGCGCGCATGCCGAAATCCTTCAAACACCTGTTGTTTCGGACGGATTTCAAAATCGAGTTTCCAAAGCAACCTACAAAAAAATTGGTTTCGCAACACTTATTTTCGAAAACAGCCTGCAGGCGCGCTCTTGCGAAATCTTTGTATCTATTTATAGCTGATATAATTATATACTTTATATATACATAAAGGTGTTTCAGGATTTCCCCCCAAAAAAACACCTACCAAACGGGCTTCGCGCGCGCATGTCGAAGTCGTTCGAACGCCCTTGCGCGCGTGCCGTCGCGAGAACCCTCTGCAAAACATGGGACTCAGTGCACGCGCGCTGGTCGTCGCGCGCGAATGCCGAAATGTTTCAAAAACTTTTGGTGTCGGAAGGATTTCAAACTCGAGTGTCCAAACAACATACAAAAACACATGGTTTCGCAACGCGGATTTTCAACAACAGCGTGCGCGCGCGCTCTTGCGTCGTCGTCGTCGTCGTCGTCGTCGTCGCCGTCCTCCCTCCTCCCTCGTCGTCGTCGTCGTCGCCGTCGTCGCCCTCTGTCTTTCCTCGTCGTCGTATTCGCCGTTCTCTTCGGCGTCGTCGTCGTTTCCATCGTCGTTGTCGCCGTGGTCGTCCTTCCTCCCTCGTCGTCGTCGTCGTCCGTCGTCGGCGTCTCGTCGTCATCCCTCATATTTCGTCGCCGTTGTCGTCGTCGTCGTCTGCCCTCCTCCCTCGTCGCTGTCGTCGTCGGCGAAGCCGTCCTTCCTCCTTCTTGGTCGGTCGCGTCGTCGCCGTCCTCCCTCCTCCCTCGTTGTTGTCGACGTTGTCGCCGTGGTCGTCCTCCGTCCTCCCTCGTCGTTGTCGTCGTCTTCATTGGCGACGTCGTCGTCGTCGTCGTCGGCGGCGGCGTCGTCGTCGTCGTCGGCGTCGTCGTCGTCGTCCGCGTCAACGTCGCCGTCGTCGTCGTCGGCGTCGTCATCGTCGTCGTCGGCGTCGGCGTCGTCGTCGTCGGTGTCGCCGTGGTCGTCGTCGTCGTCGTCGTCGTCGTTGTTGTCGTCGTCGTCGAAGTCGTCGGAGTCGTCGTCGGTATCGTCGTCGGCGTCGTCGTCGTTGCCGCTGTCGTCGTCGGCGTCGCTGTCGCTGCCAAGTGCCATTTGGTACTCACCGTCACCGCCTTAAGAAGTATTGCGACCAAGTTGCGGGTGGGAGGGTGGGATGTTTGCACGAGCAGTGGAGAGGACAGCTTCAAGACAGTCAAAGTGAATTCTCCTTTCTGCAAAGAGAATAGACTCTACCCCACCCCCCGGCGTTATCGCTACCCCTTTCGGGTATGTGAATCACATATGATTATGACCACATGTCCATCCTAAATATGAAATCACAATGTCCCAGGCCAGCTGGTATCCCCCCCCTGAGGTTCCCTTGTAAAAAACACTATGCGGTGACATTCTTTGTTCTAACATAGCATTTTTTCACGAATCCCTTGCAAAAAACGGGACGAAGTGCACATGCGCGCGTCGTCGCGCGCGCATGCCGAAATCCTTCAAAAACCTTCGGTGCCGGAAGGATTTCGCAATCGAGATTCCAAAACACAAGCAAAAACACAGGGTTTCGCAACACTGATTTGCTAAAAAAGCTTACGCGCGAGCTCTTGCGAAATCTGAAGAAAACCATTGGTCTTTCAAGATTGTCACAACATGCTACCAAACGGGCGTCGCGCGCGCACATGTCGAAATCTGTCGAACGCCCTTGCGCGTGTGCCGTCGTGAGAATCCTTTGCAAAAAATGGGACAAAGTGCAGACGCGCGCGTCGTCGCGCGCGTACGCCGAAATCCTTCAAAACCCATTGGTTTCGGAAGGATTTCAAAATCCCGCGTCCAAAAAACCTACAAAAACACAAGGTTTCGCAACACGGATTTTCAACAAAAGCGTGCGCGCGCGCTCTTGCGGCGTCGTCGACGTCGTCGTCGTCGTCGTCATCGCCGTCCTCCCTCCCACCGCGTCGTCGTCGTCGTCGCCTACGTCGTCCTGTGTCTTTCCTCGTGTTCGTCGCCGTTGTCCTCTTTGGCGTCGTGGTCGTTTCCGTCGTCTTTGTCGCCGTGGTCGTCCTTCCTCCTCCTCCCTCATCGTCGTCGTCGTCGTCCGTCGTCGGCGTCTTGTCGTCGTCCCTCCTATATCGTCGCCGTCGTCGTCGTCGTTGTCGTCGTCGTCTCGTCGTCGTCTTCCCTCCTCCGTCGTCGTTGTCGTCGTCGGCAACGCCGTCCTTTCTCCTTCTTCGTCGTTCGCGTCGTCGCCGTCCTCCCTCCTCCCTCGTTGTCGTCGTTGTCGTCGTTGTCGCCGTCGTCGTCCTCCCTCCTCCCTCGTCGTCGTCTTCGTTGGCGACGTCGTCGTCGTCTTCGTCGTCGTCGTCGGCGTCGGCGTCGTCGTCTTCGTCGTCGTCGACGTCGGCGTCGTCGTCGTCGCCGCCGTCGTCGTCGTCGTCGTCGTCGTCGGCCGTCTTGCTTCTCCGGCCTTCTTGGGGCGCTCTTGAGACGCCCCCGAGGGCTCCAAGACGACCCCGGAGCGATATCTGTGCTCGGTCCCGCATGGGTTTTGCAAACCAAGTTGCGGGTGGGTGGGTGGGATGATTGCGCGAGCAGTGGAGTTGACAACTTCAAGTTCGGCAAGTGGATTGCATCTTCGTCGTCGTCGACGTCGTCGTCGCCGCCGTCGTCGTCGTCGTCGTCGGCGTCGTTGACGTCGTCGTCGGCGTCGTCGTCGGCGTCGTTGTCGGTGTCGTCGTTGTCGTCGTCGTCGGCGTCGTCATCGTCGTCGTCGTCGTTGTCATCGTCGTCGTCGTCGTCGTCGTCGGTGTCGTCGTCGTCGGTGTCGTCGTCGTCGTCGTCGTCGTCGTTGTCGGCGTCGTCGAAGTCGTTGGAGACTTCGTCGGTGCCGTCGTAGTCGTTGTCGTCGGCGTCGTCGTCGTCGTTGTCGCTGTCGTCGTTGGCGTCGCTGTCGCTGCCAAGTGCCATTTGGTACCCACCGTCACGGTCTTAAGAGATTTTGCAAACCAAGTTGCGGGTGGGTGGGTGGGATGTTTGCGCGAGCAGTGGAGTGAACAATTCATTGCGAACATAAATTCATTGCATACCATAGATTGCACCAGAAAGATGTCGCACCACACGTATTGCATCACATCGTTTGGACCCCATGTATTCGACCACATAAGTTGCACAACGTTTAGCGCACGCCTTTTTATCGAACCAGATAGATTGTACCACATCGATTGTTCTACAACATTTGAGCACCATAAATTGCACAACACTTGTTGCACGACGTGTCTTGCATACCATAGACTGCATAACGTATTCTGCCAGCAAAGATTGCTCCATGTCGATTACACAAATTTATGTACGGCTATAGACACACTGATTGGGTCTCACGTTGGCTGACATCTTACATGTATGTTCCTTCTCACTCTGCCTTCCGCCTCTCAGTCTTCATTCCTCTTCCGCCCTCTTCTTCCGCCTCCTCCTCCTTCGCCTCCTCCGCCTCCTCCTCCTCGCCACCCGTCGTCTGGGCCCGTCTGCCGCTCTGGCGGCTATGTAGTCGCCGTCGCCGCCCCATGGCCGCCGCGTCGCCGTCGCCGCCCCGTCGCCACAGATCTTTTCCTTCCTCACACAGAATTAGGACCTCGCCCCCTCCTCTTCCTCCTCCTCCTCCTCCTCCTCCTCCTCCTCCCCCTCCTCCTCCTCCTCCTCCTCCTCCTCCTCCTCCTCCTCCTCCTCCTATTCCTCCTCCTCTTTATCCGCCTTCTCCCCTTCTCCCTCCTCCCCCTCCTTCTCCTCCTCTTTCCCCCCAGCCCCACTTCCACTCGGGGCCCCTCTGCCGTGCCCCGACGCGCGCCCGCGACGGGCACAGGCCCACCACGAGGCGAGGGAGCTCCTGCCCGAGATCAGCCACCGCCTCGAGCGCAACGCGGAGCACCGCGCCGCGCTGGAGCGCCGCGCCGCGGGGGCCTCCTCCTCCCGAGGCCGGGCGACGCCGACTGCGCACGCGCGCGTTGGAGGAAGGGCGAGGCGCGGGCAGGAGAGGGAGGGTGGGGCAGGAGGCAGGAGGAGGAGGAGGCAGGAGGAGGAGGAGGAGGAGTAGGAGGAGGAGGAGGAGGAGTAGGAGGAGGGGGAGGAGGAGGAGGAGGAGGAGGAGGAGGAGGAGGAGGAGGAGGGGGCGAGGTCGTAATTCTGTGTGAGGAAGGAAAAGATCTGTGGCGATGGGGCGGCGACGGCGACGCGGCGGCCACGGGGCGGCGACGGCGACTACATAGCCGCCAGAGCGGCAGACGGGCCCAGACGACGGGTGGCGACGAGGCGGCGACGGGGCGGCGACGGCGACTACATAGCCGCCAGAGCGGCAGACAGGCCCAGTTCCGTAGAACGGAAGCAAAGAGCCCTCAGTACAAACGCTGTTTGTGGAACGAGTGCACAGACATGAGCTGTCGGAGGTTCGCGCGGACCTTCTTGGATCGGCACTGGACGCTCGGGCAGGACCCATAAACCAAACCTTTTCTAATCGTGCCATAAACACGACCGGAGGTTTTCAGCCATTCTCGGCCTCTGGGGGCCCAGCAGGGGCCCTTGCTGGGCGCATATGGCAGGACGTGTTGCTCGTGTCGCGTCTCCTTGTCCAGGTATGCGTCCCGATGAAGTGGAGACTTGTGGTGTGAAAGCACTTCAGCTCAGCACACTGCACGTCGAGCTGGACACCATGACCACCGCGAACAATGTCGCGCACGGATGATGTCGCACTGTGATTGGCCCCACGTGATGGTTGGAGCCCTGCCTCCTAGAAGGGCAGCTCACAGCTGGGACGAAGTCTGCTTTCTCGTGAAGTTGCCACCCGATCTTATCGCGCAAGCGAGACTCGGGCGCGGCAGATCCCGTGGGCTCTGCCCTCAGAGATCACGAAGTTGTTGGATCACATGCTGGCCCGTGAAGATCGCTCACCTCTCGGGCGGGGCCAGGACGAGGGCAAATCCGTTCCAGAGCGTTCCGGGACGCTCTCAGAGCGTTCCAACACGCTTCGAGAACGCCCGAGTCATCCTCCAGAGCTGCCGGCTTTCAGAGATTCCCGATGTATCCTCGCCCGATGTTATCCTCGTCCCGGCCTCGTCTTACACCTCTGACGCCGGGGAGAAAGGAGGAGGCGAAAGATGAGGAAGAGGAGCAATAGCGGCAGGAGGAAGAGCAGGGGGAGGAGCAGGAGAAGGAGCAGGAGGAGAAGGAGCAGGAGGAGGAGGAGGAAGATGAGGAGGAGGAGGAGGAGGAGGAGGAGGTGGAGCAGGAGCAGGAGCAGGAGGAGCAGGACAAGGAGCAGGAGCAGGAGGAGGAGCAGGAGCAGGAGCAGGAGCAGGAGCAGGAGGAGGAGCAGGAGGAGGAGGAGGAGGAGGAGGAGGAGGTGGAGCAGGAGCAGGAGCAGGAGGAGGAGGAGGAGGTGGAGGAGGAGAAGGAGGAGGAGGAGCAGGAGCAGGAGGAGGAGGGAGCGTCCCTCTTCCCTCCTGCGCGCTTGCGCCGGGACCCGGCGGGCGGCCCCGAGAGCCGATTGCTCTGCCTTCCCTCCCTCGGCCCTCTGCCTCCTGGCACCCCAGGCTCCCTGCAGGCTCTCGCCGCAGCCCTCCTCGCCTGCTCCCTCCTCCCCGCCTCCCCCCCCCCTCCTCTCCCGCCCTCCGCCGCCCCTCTTGGACTCCCCCCCCCCCCCCCCCTCCTCCCCCTCCTCTCCCCCCCTCTCCCCTCCCTCTGGGCCTCGCGCCCCCCGCCTCCCCCCCCCCCTCCCGCTCCCCTCCCCCCGCCCCTCCTGCCCCGCGCTCTCCCCGGCCTCCCCCCCTGGACCTGCCGCGCCCGTCCCGCCCTTCGCACGCGCACTTGTCCTGCTTCGCCCGCCCCCTGCCCTGCCCTCCCCTGCTACGGCCGCGCTATCCCCCCTCCTCCTTCCTGTAGGGGGCCAACATGCGAACCCTTCCCCTGCCCCCCACGATTTCTGAGGGGAGGGGTGGGGTTCACCTCGCTCGGGAGCTCCCGAGCGAAGTGAACCCCACCCCCTCCCCTCAGAAATCGTGGGGGGCAGGGGAAGGGTTCGCATGTTGGCCCTCTATATCCTGCCGGCGGCGAGCCCGGGCGGCGCAGTGCCCGCCGCCTGCGCTCTGCAGGGCCCCGGCGCGCCGACCGGGGCCCACAGGCCGTGGCTCGGGCCCGTGGGCCGCGGGCCGCAGCGCGGCCGGGCCGGGCGGGGACAGCTCCGCTGCCGCCTCGGCCGCCGGTCGGGGCCCGGCCGGCCCATCGGTTGCCGAGCGGGATCGGGCCGGCCGGCCGAGGGGGGGCCCCGACCAGGCCAGCCACAACTGGGGGAGCTGTGTTCCTTCCCCCCCCTGTGGGGCCCATCGATTTGGACACTCCTCTCGAGAGATCGTCGATGCGATGGGTTCCCCCAGGGGGGTAAGGACCACAGCTCCCCCAGGTATGGCTGGTCGGCCGACCGAGCGAGCCGCGCACAGTCGGACCTGGTTGGACAGGACACGCGAGAGGGCACAAGGCCCTTCCGAGGGCCACATCGCCACAGGAGTGTGCGAGGCGTTGGTCGCGAGACACGGGACACAAGGGTACCCTTGATTTGGCAGGGTCGGCCCACTCAGCAGGGCCGACTGTACAAGCCTTCTCCGAAGCCACCGGCGGCTTCCCAGAAGGCGTGAGGGCTTCTGAAAGCCCCCGCGGCCTTCCGAGGAGGCCAACGCCACGCCTGTTGGCAAGGGGCCGGAACTCCAAGGACCATGCTCGGGGGGCCATGTTTTTCCTGTCGGCTGGCTGTCTCCAGGAGACCTTCAGACTGTGAAGATGCCCTCCAAGATACCCTCATCTGTGTCACGATGCTGGAGGAAGAGGAAGAGAAAGAGAGAGAAGGTGGGTCAGGAAGAAGATCAGGAGAAGGAGTATGAGGCGTGCCAGCATCCAGGCCACGTGCGGCAGAACGCATGCTCCACAGTGCCCTGGCCTCCTCATTTCCCCCCTGGGCCCGCCAGCGACTCCAGCTAATTAGCCGGCACCGCGCAGTCTTCCTCCCCGCCCGCCCTCCTCCGCATCCGCATCCACGCCCGCCACGCCCCTGGGGCCGGGCAGGAGCGCGACCGGAAGCTGGCACTCCTGCGGGAGATGGAGGCCACCCCTCTCTCTGCTGCAGGGGGGGAGGAGCGCTCCAGGCCTCCCAGACTCAGGAGGGGAAAAAATACACAGACAGAATTAATCGTCGATTCCCAGGAAACTATGGAAAAGTATGGGAAGTGGGGGGGAAGACAATTATAGCCGGAGTGCAGTATCCCCAAACAGGGTTTTTAGACCCACTGCGGTTTCCAAGGTCGATTGCGTGCCCGCCTAGTGCGGGCTGGCATGGCATGTTAAAACATGCCTCCTCCTCCTCCTCCTCCTCCTCCTCGTCCACCTCCTCTTCATCCCGAAAGGCATCTCGGAACCCAGAGTTGCGAGGATGTCTCCAGCGTAACGGGCTGGACCACCTCGCGCGCGGCATTTCGGACCCCAGAGTTGCGACGATGTCTCGGGCGAAACGTGCTGCGAGGAAGTCTCAGGCGAAACGGGCCGGACCACCTCGAGCGCGGCGTCTCAGAGCTCCGAGTTGCGGGGGCCTCCTGGTGCCTCCTGGGGCCTCCTGGGGACCTCCTGGGGCTTCCTCCCGGGCCTCCTGTGGCCTCCTGAACTCCACCTGAGGTTTCCTGAAGCATCTTGGGGCTCCCAGGGGGGATATCTAACCTGTGGCCGTTTGGGCCTCTCCAAATACAGGGGGGGGCCACAGGAGCAGGAAAAATCAACGAATCGACACCGGATGTGTATTAACTTGACACGTTCTGATAGAGGGCCTCCTGGGGCCTCCTGGGAGCCTCCTGGGAATCTCCTGCGGACCCCTGGGGCCTGTCCTGGGCGTCCTGCGGCCTCCTGAAGCTCTCTGGGACCTCCCCCTCCTCCTGCCTGCTCCCTCATGCACATCATCCGCCTCCTCCTTCTCCCTTCCATCTCCTCCTCCTCCTCCTCCTCCTCCTCCTCCTCCTCCTCCACCTCCTCTTCATCGCGAACGGCATTTCGGAGCCTAGAGTTGCGAGGATGTCTCCAGCGTAACGGGCTGGACCACCTCGCGCGCGGCATCTCGGACCCCAGAGTTGCGACGATGTCTCGGGCGAAACGTGCTGCGAGGAAGTCTCAGGCGAAACGGGCTGGACCACCTCGAGCGCGGCGTCTCAGAGCTCCGAGTTGCGGGGGCCTCCTGGTGCCTCCTGGGGCCTCCTGGGGACCTCCTGGAGCTTCCTCCTGGGCCTCCTGTGGCCTCGTGAACTCCACCTGGGGTTTCCTGAAGCCTCTTGGGGCTCCCAGGGGGGATATCTAACCTGTGGCCGCTTGGGCCTCTCCAAATGGAGGGGGGGCACAAGAGCAGGAAAAATCAACGAATCGACACCGGATGTGTATTAACTTGACACGTTCTGATAAGCGGCCTCCTGGGGCCTCCTGGGAGCCTCCTGGGAATCTCCTGGAGACCCCTGGGGCCTGTCCTGGGCGTCCTGCGGCCTCCTGGTGCCTCCTGGGCCTCCTGGGGACCTCCTGGAGCTTCCTCCTGGGCCTCCTGTGGCCTCCTGAACTCCACCTGAGGTTTCCTGAAGCATCTTGGGGCTCCCAGGGGGGATATCTAACCTGTGGCCGCTTGGGCCTCTCCAAATGGAGGGGGGGGCACAAGAGCAGGAAAAATCAACGAATCGACACCGGATGTGTATTAACTTGACACGTTCTGATAGAGGGCCTCCTGGGGCCTCCTGGGAATCTCCTGGGGGCCCCTGGGGCCTGTCCTGGGCGTCCTGCGGCCTCCTGGACCTCTCTGGGGCCTCCTGAGGCTCGCAGGGTCCCATGGAGGATATGTAACATGTGGCCTTCTGGGCCCCCAGGCTGGACCACCTCTTGCGCAGCATCTGAGAGCTCAGAGTTGCGAGAATATCTTGTGCGAAACAGGCCGGACCACCTTGCGCACGGCATCTCAGATCTCAGAGTTGCAAGGATTTCTCAGGCGAGACGGGCCGGACCACCTCGCGCAGGGCATCTCAGAGCTCAGAAGTTCGAGGATGTCTCAGGCGAAACGGGCCGGACCACCTCGCGCGCGGCATCGGGGAGATCAGAGTTTCGAGGATGTCTCAGGCGAAACGGGCCGGACCACCTCGCGCGCGGCATCTTGGAGCTCAGAGTTGCGAGGATGTCTCAGGCGAAACGGCCCGGACCACCTCTCGCGCGGCATCTGGGAGCTCAGAGTTTCGAGGATGTCTCAAGCGAAACGGCCCGGACCACCTCTCGCGCGGCCTCTCAGAGCTCAGATTTAGGAGGATGTCTCAGGCGAAACGCTCAATCCCAGACAACTCAGAAACGAGAGTTGTGAGGATGTCTCAGGCGAAACGGGCCGGACCACCACATTTGTTTGAGGATGTCTCTGCTTAGCTTTCCCTCGGCCGGAATTAGCTTCTATCACAACAGCACCCCGTTCAGCAAGCTGTTTGGGGAAAAACCCAGAAAATATAGGAAAATATGGGGGATATGTTCATTTGTGTGTATTTTGTTGTGTGTCCTGGGGCCCCTTTACAGACAGGGTCCGAGCAGATGGGGGCGGCGGGTCGTGCCGCATCACCGATGCGGCTCGACGATGCGGCTCGATGCGGAGCCCGCTGTTCTCCACGGCGGCATCACCGATGCATCGCCGACGTCGCTGGTGCATCGTCGATGCATCGGCGATGCGGCGCGATTCTCCGACCCCATCTGCGCCGACCCTGTCTGGGAGGCCTCCAAGCTGGCACGGCGGGTCCCAGCGGGGAGGATCGGGGACGCCTTGGCGCCCAGAAGAGCGGCCAGTGCAATGTGGCGGACGACGAACGGTAACAGAAACAAGCTCTTCCGCCATCGGGGGACGCCTGTCCCAGGGAGACTGGAAAGTGTGCATATACCCATGCGACGGCGCATCGGGGCATGAGTTTTCCAGCCGCCCTGGGGCGAGCGTCCCCGACGGTGGATCAGTGCATGTTGCACTGGTCCTCGCCCGCGAAGTGAAGTAAGGAGAAGGAGCAGCATGATGTGGGTCTCGCCCCTTGTTGTTTTTTTGTTCACCCGTTCCTCCACGGTCTCGCCTCTCGTGCTGTGTCTCGCTTTGCTCGTTCTGATCTGCGCTCGCTCGCGGCGTCGAGACTTCACGCGCCGTTCCTGGCGCAGGCACGTGCCACAGCAAAGCAGAAACAATTGGTGGCGGGCGCTGCGGTGCTGAGGTCCGTCCATGTTCCCCAAGCGGTGTTTGCACTTATTGTGTTTGTTGTGTTGCATGGGCTACGAAGGAATTGGGTGGGTATGCCGAGGATTCGCCACGTTGCCGCCCGTTGCCGCCTGATGGGTATGCCGAGGATTCGCCTCGTTGCTGCCGGTCGCCACCCGTCGCTGCCTCGTTGCCGCGTCATGGCCGCCTCGTGCGCACGTTGCCGCCCGGTGTCGCCTCGTCGCCGCGTCGTGGCCGCCTCGTGCGTCGTGTGGGTATGCCGCGAATTCGCCACGCTGCTGCCCGTTGTCGCCGCCTCGATGCCACGTCGTTGCCGCCCGTTGCCGCCTTGTTGCCGCGACACCGCTCACTGCTGGGGGTCCACGCTGGCAAGCACAGTGTTTGAGTAGACGATCCGACGTCCGTTGTAGGATCGAGGCCCTGGGCTTTGAGGTGAGACCCGTCCGAAAAGATTGCTGTCGATCGGCCCCTCGAGATGCGAGACTCCTCCTTCAGACGCGCTGCCCCTCGCACAACAGCTTCGCTGCGCCCGTGCGTCCGTTTTCTAGCGCTCCGGTGTGATGCGATGGAACATTGAACAGGACCAGGGGAACGTGATTGTCTTCACCTCTTCTGCCCTTCGCCCGCTCGCGGGTACCTCGGGGCCTCACGACCACCGCAGTCAGCAACGAGCCGCCCCAAAAGACTCCCTGACTCATGGGCCCCCAGATGCTGCGGCCTCGGTGGCGCATCGCCGGTGCATCCGTGGTGCTGTTGCGGCAGGGAGCCCCACACCGTGCTCCAGCCCCGCACGGCTGGCGCACCGCGACGGCGCCGGCGGTGCGGCGCGCCCCGAGATCGCCAGGAGCTCAAACCCTGCTCAGGATGCTCCCAGGCTCCCAGCCCCACTCAGGCACTCAAGCTTTCAACATCCTCCCTCCTGCTCCTCCTGCTGCTCCTCCCCCTCCTCCTGGTTCCCTGCCCGTTGACGTCTCTCGTCGCACGCCTGCTGCTTCGCGCCTCGCCTCGCCATCTCATGCCATGGCTCTCTCTGTCCACTCACCGCTCGCGTCCCGAAGTCTCCCAGCCCCCGCCATCTCCATAGGTGCCGCCGCGCTCCCACTCACCGAGCCGTCTCGAGGCTCACGGCTGCCGCAGTGCTCCCTGGTGGAGATTACCAGTTGGTGGTGACGTGGGCCACTGCCTGCTCCCCCCCCCTCGGACGCATCGCTGGTGCTGGCGTCCGCGCGACGCAGATACGCAGGCTCGACTGCGCGGACACTCGCGCGCCAGCTCGCCGCGTCAGGGCGCGCGGTGGCGCCCTCGGCTCCCGCGCGGTGTGCCGCGCCGGCGGCCCGAGTGAGCCGCCGCGTCAGGTCGCCATGCCATCTCGCGTGAGGCCCGTCTTCCTGGCATCGCTCGGACGTGTGCATTTTTTCTCGGCGAGAACCGTCGAGGACGATCCTGGACCATCGAGCAAAAAACACGCGCACGACACCGAAAAAAACGCACGGGAAATGGACGTCCGAGCGATGGCGAGTCTCTGTTCGTCGCTCGTGTGGGGCTTGCATCGCCGTGGGCGTCGTCCCAGGTCGTCGGCATGACGACCACCGCCGTGTCCAAGTACCAGCAGCTGCTGAAGGAGCTGCGCCCCGAGGTCCGCCGCCCTCGCGGACCCCTCCGGCGCGCGGCGCGCCTCGCCCCAGGAGAAGAAAAGACACACAGACACACTGAATCCTCGATTCCCCAGAAAATATGGGAAAATGTAGGAAGTGGATGGGAAGACAGAAACCCAGACAATATAGGAAAATATGGGGAACATTTTGATTTGTGTGTATTTATTTGTGTGTCCTGGGGCCCCTTCATCTCCCCCTTCCCACACGAGACGAAAGGCAGGTGCTCGACACGGTTGGGTCGGGCACGTCTTCCTACAGGCGGGTTTTGCGCGAGAACATTGAAACATGGCTTAACCAAAATCGCTCACAACAGATCAAAGATGGTTAAAAAAATCGTCCCCGTGCTATATTTGCTGACTATTTGAGTATCCCTCCTGCACAGGGACGTGCCCGATTTAACCACACGGTCGAAATGGGTACGGAAAGAGTGGGCACGAAGACCAGCAGCATCATCGAGGCTACGGCCAGTTCGTTGAAGCAAGGCCGAGTTCGAGCTCGGGAGGGCCTTGGTGGCTCCTTAAGTTTGCATGCGTTCCGTTGCCTTCTTGGTGGCGAGGCCCTTCGGTGAAACTTCGGAGTTCACGATCGGTCCGTGGGATTTCACGGCTCGACTTGAACGAAAATGGGTTTCGTTCGTTGTGTGTCGTTTCTTATTCCAGCAGCCCGATTGCACCCTTGTATCCTTGCCCCGTCCTCAAGCAATAGCGAACCGTCTTGGTTTGCCTATAGGCTATAGGCCCACCAAAGAAGGTTCTAATGTCCTTTTGTGGTCTACACGAAATATTGTTGACACAGTTCTGGCCTCTCCTGTTTGGTGTCAATGAGAAGATTCACTGTTCTGGAAAGTGTGTGGGTTTTTTAAAGAACGTTCTTTTGTTGAAAGATCACGCTGTGGTAGGCCCACAGGAATGCTGGGACGGTCGGTCCCTGCTCAACTGTGGGCCCACCCGGAGCCAGTGTTGACGCCCCACGAGCCAGAAATGGTAAACGTGATTTCCAGGGGTCTTGCACCCTCACCCTGCGCCCTCACTACAGGTTTCGACAGCACGGTCGGCCCTGATGAGCTGGTCGACCCTGCCAAGCCAAGGGTACCGTGGTGTCCTGTGTCTCGCGACCCATGCCGCCTGCATCCCCATGGCAATGTAGCCCTCGGAAGGGTCTTGTGTCCACTCGCGTGTTCTGTCCCATCCAGTCCCACTTCACGCCGACCCCATCCAGGAGGTCACCACTGTCGCTACGATCGACATGGGTACGGGAAGAGGCTGTGGACAAGACACAAACACATAATGAGAACAAAAAACACACAGTGTGGACAAAAACACACTCAGTGTGTGTGTGTGTGAGTGTGTGTGTGTGTGTGTCTGTGTGCCTGTGTGTCTGTGTGTCTGTGTGTGCGTGTGTGTGTGCGTGTGTGTGTGTGTGTCTGTGCGTGTGCGTGTGCGTGTGCGTGTGTGTGTGTGTGTTGTGTGTTGTGTGTTGTGTGTTGTGTGTTGTGTGTTGTGTGTTGTGTGTTGTGTGTTGTGTGTTGTGTGTGTGTTTGTTTCCACGTTGTGTGTGCTTGTGTGTGCGTTTATGTGTTTGCGTGTGTGTGTGCCTCGGAGGCCAATTTACATCGTCACGCGCCCCGGACGTTGTGTTTGCTCCCTGTCATCCGCCTTGGAGCCGCGAACCAAAAGGTGTGTGCGTGTGTGTGTCTGTGTGTGCGTGTGTGTGTGTGTGTGTGTGTGTCTGTGTGTGTTTCTCCATGATCGAAATGGGTACGGGAAGGATGGGCGCAAAGACCGACTTCCGTGCCTGCCCACTCTGAACGGGGTTCGCTTTCAGCGTCACCGTGGGCGTGGCCCATTCAAGACAGACCCCACCCCTCACAACATGTTCACAACATTTGATGTTGGGCATCGTACCCATTCGGCCACGCGCAGAGGGGGTTAGGGGAAGGGGTAAGGCTTCTTAGAAGCACCCCTGCTTCTTAGAAGGCGTGGGCCTTCTCTGTAGATGTAAGGCTGGTGCCTTCTAAGAAGCAGCCTCCCTCTAAGAAGTCTCCCCCCCTCCCCCTACCCCCCTTCTGCAAGCCGCCACATCGTATCTTTTTTTTCCGCGTCCACAGAGGCGTGCACAAGTCGATTTGCTGCACGCTATTTCCGTTGGCAGGGGGCGTTCGGCGGAAACACGTTGAGGGAGGTGTTCGGCCATGCTCGGCTTCCGGGGGGGACCATTGCCGGGCCCTGCCGACAAGCAACGCCTCAGGATGAAAAGCCGGTCTCAGAGAGGGTCGATAAAACGACGCGAAGATCGGGACAAAATCGGATCGGGATAACTCGAAATCTCTGAGAATCGGCGGGTTTGGAGAATATATTGGGCGCCGCCGCGGGCGCTCCAGAGCGTTCCGGAACGCTCTGAGAGCGCTCCGGAACGCTCTGGAGCGATTTATTCCGATCCTAGCCCTGTTTTACCAGATGGCAACGTGAAGGCGGGCATGGCTTGTGTGTGAAGACCGCGTATCTCCTCCTTCTACCCATCCATCCGGCAATCCTCTCGGCTCAGGTATTGGACAGCGAGCCCGAATGCTGTCGGGCTGCGAGAGGGAACAGGACGCTTTCACTCTCTCGCCTCAATGCTCTACCGACGGATTCGACGGTCGGCTCGACCCTTCGTTTCGTACCCTCCGTTCACATGGCTCACGTAAGCCTCGGCGTTCGTGTTTTTGTCTGTGCTCTTCTGCACGTGTTTGCGCCCTCGGGGAGGCTCCTCGTCGTCAGGGCTTCATTCCCTCACAGTTCTTACCGCAACGCACCACCTGGACAGGTGCTGGGGTCGATTTCTACCCCCCCGACATAAGCTCCATCGGCAGCGGCAGTGGAAGCTGCCACTGGTTGCCCAGGCCCCTTCCCGGCCACGTTTCGTTGCTCGCAGGCGCATCTGAACAACATATATTGATCATCATGCTTCTGGGTGTCTTGAAATGTTCAGTGAGGGGAAACTCGATTGGACTGGCCTGGACTGGCCTGCGCTCACCTGGTCGTGACCATTCGCAGGACGTCTTGAGCTTCGGCGGCTGAATGACGCAACTCGAAGCTGGGCTTGTCTACGTTGTGGAGAAAAACGGCGCAACATATGGAGCAACCAGCGGCAGGACGTTTTGAGATTGTGCGGCCCTCGGCGCAACTTGGGACAAACTAGCCAGTGGCAGCACGTGTCAAGCGCTGCCGCCCCTCAGTGCAACAAATGTCGTGACCACTAGCCGGTCGTGTAAGCTGTTGGCGGCCGAGGGTGAAACCGATGGCGCAGCAAAAAAAAAAGGCGTTATGTTTCGGCGGCCGAGAGCGCGACCTATGGTGTGACCTGGGGGAAGGGGTGTATACAAATAAGGAGTCGGGGCGAGCCCCTTCCCGAAGGGGCAGGAGGGGGTTGGAAGAGGAGGCTCTCTAAACCATCCCCGCCCACAGGGCCGGTTGGATTAGGGTTGGCCCGTTCGGAGGCCTTGTGTTGCCTTGGGCGTGCGCGAGCGTTTCCGCCCAGGTGGTCATCGTCGAGGAGGCGGCGGAGGTCCTCGAGGCCCACATCCTCACGGCGCTCCACCCGCGCACGCAGCACGTCATCCTGATCGGGGATCGCCGCGCACGGCCGCGTCCACCGCACCCGCTTGGGCGCGCTGCCGCCTGGCGCGCCCCGGGAAGGGCTCTCGTCTTCGAGGAAGCGAGACGTCGGCACCTCTTCCTCGGCGGAAGGCGGCGGCAGGGCGGTGGAGGCCGGCGGAGGTGAAGCGAGGCCGCCTCCGCCAGCGGATCCTCCTCCTCCTCCTCCTCCTCCTCCTCCTCCTCCTCCTCCTCCTCCTCCTCCTCCTCCTCCTCCTCCTCCCTCGAGGAGGAGGAGCAGGAGGAGAAGAGGAGGAGGAAGGCAGGCGGAGGTAAGCGTTGCGCCCCCAAGGCATGCCAACCTCTGTGGACTCGGGGCTTCTGGAGCGGGCCGCCCGGCACGCCCTCTGCGCTGCGCAGCTGCCTCGTCGTCCCCCCCACCCTCCTCCTCCCCCTCCTCCTCCTCCTCCTCCTCCTCCTCCTCCTACTCCTCCTCCTCCTCCTCCTCCTCCTCCTCCTGCTCCACCCCCTCCTCCTCCTGCTCCTCCTCCTCCTCCTCCTCCTCCTCCTCCTCCTCCTCCTCCTCCTCCTCCTCCTCCTCCTCCTGCTCCTTCTCCGCCTCCTCCTCCTCCTCCTCCTCCTCCGCCTCCTCTTCCTCCTCTTCCTCGAGCTCCTCCTCCTCTTGCTCCTCCTCCACCTCGAGCTCCTCCTCGAGGCCCGGGCAGGCCCGGCGCCCTTCCTTGGCAAGGCCCAGGCCGCTCAGACGGGTCCAGGTGGGGTCCGAGCAGGCGGGGTCGGAGGACCGCGCCGCATCGCCGACGTGTCGGCGATGCGCCTCGGTCCAGAGCCCGATGTTCTCCATGCCGACGTCGCCGATGCATCGACGACGTGGCTCGGTCCTCCGACGTGGGCCGCCCAAGGGCTGGGCCACCTCGACGGGCTTGCAGGAGCTGCGCTTCGGCCCGTCTGAGGTGTGTTCCTCCAGTCCGCCCCTCGTTCTCTGCTGGCAGGGCGAAGGGTGACGTGGGGGCGGGGGGGGGGGAGGTGCAGAGGGCAAGCTAGGTGCGCTCGCGTCAGATCTGACGTTCGACCCCTTCCTCCCATCCCTTAGAATGGCGTAGATATCCTCTCTATTCGCATAGTCGGATGTCGAGCAGGGCAATGGTCGCGAGAGGGTACGCGATGCATGGTAGAGCACGGCATGACATTGCGTAGGAAATCACGGCAGAGCGTAGCATGCCATAGCATGGCATGGCATTGTGCAATGAAGCATTGCATCACATAGCATTGCAACGCAAAGCATGGCAACGCACAGTGGCGCAGAACACAAAACAGCATGGCGCCGGGCTTCTTGGAGGGTACGTGGATCGTATTCGAGAAGTCTGGGCGGGTCTGGAGTCGTGGCTCCATGTCTAGCTCCTTGGGCTCCCCGAAAAAACTCCCCACAAGGCGGGATTGATGGAGAGCACCCGCTGGCTCTCCTTTCAACATCGCTTTCTCAAAGCAGAAACGGGGCTTCCGCTTAATATTTCCTGAAAACGACGACGACCCCAAATGGGGGGGCTCCTGCGGCCAAAAAGACCAACGAATCAACACCGAATGTGTAATCACTTCCGATGTTTCTTTTGGGGGGGGGGGGGCAGTTTCTACATGGTGGGACCCATGTGCAAGGACCGAGAACGCCCGCGCTGCAGCGGGAGCACGATTTGGAACAACCAGAGGCGCAGAAATGGGGACAGCGCTTCAGCGGGAGCATTATTTTGAAGACAAGCCCAAGCGAAAATTTCAATTCCGGGGAACCCCGTGTGTACAAAACATTGCGCGGAGGGGGGCCGGACATCTGCCGGACGTCCTCAGGGGAAAGAGGAGAGTAGTATTCATAGTGTGTAATTGTAGAGAGCGAGCGAGGGCGCGGTCGAGTGAGGGGCGGAGGGAGGGATTTGGAGGTGGAGGAGGCGGAAGAGGAGGAGGAGGCGGAAGGGGAGGAGGAGGAGGGAGGAGGAGGAGGGGCGGTGGACCAGGGAGGGGAAGAGAGATAAGGGACAAGCTTGGAGCGCGCGCGCGCCATATCTGACATCCTACCTCTCCCGCCCATCCCGTCCCATTGCGCTGTCTTTGTTCCCTTTCCGCCGACGGACCTGGATCCCCAAGTGGCCCCCGTCGGAGGATGCACAGTCAGAGAGAGAGGAGCTGCGCACACTGGAGGAGAGGGAGGTGGTGGCGGATGAGCAGGAGAGGAGGAGGAGGAGGAGGAGGAGGAGGAGGGGAGGAGGAGAGAGGAGGGGAGGAGGAGGAGGAGGAGGAGGAGGAGGAGGGGAGGAGAGGAGGAGGATGAGGAGAGGATGAGGAAGGCGGAGGAGGAGGATGAGGAGGAGGAGGAGGAAGGAGGAGGATCATCTCTTTTTTTTTACCTTGCCCTGGCGGGCACGCCCTGTTGGCCAGGGACCCCGTGGGCAAGACCGGGCCCTAACCCCGGAGAGAGCCGGGCCGATCCTCGGCGGCCGAGGCCCCCGGGGAGAGGCGCGATGTGCGCGCTCGGCCCCCGCCTCGGTCGGGGGGCCGAGGCCGAGGCGGAGTGGCGGGGCAGGCCTCCTTGCTCCTCCTCCTCCTCCTCCTCCTCCTCCTCCTCCTCCTCCTCCTCCTCCTCCTTCTTTCTCCTCCTCCTCCTCCTCCTCCTCCTCCTCCTTCATCCTCCCTCCTCCTCCTCCTCCTCCTCCTCCCTCCTCCTCCTCCTCCCCCTCCCCCTCCTCCTCCGGGGGCCTGGACCCCCTCAGGACCTGTGGGGGGACCTAGCGGCCGCGACCGGGCGCGAGGGCGCTCTGGGCCCGGCCAGGCCCGCGCGGCCCCAGGCTCGGGCGCTGCGGAAGGGGGGGGGGGGGGGGGGCGACACGTGCAGAGCTTAGTTGTCTCGGTACGCCCGTGTTGCAACGCCGGGTTCAAGGCGTCCGTGTCAATGCGTTGCGTGCTGGCTCCACGTATTGGCCCACGTTTTGGCGAACGTATCGAGGCGGACCTATACGTTTCCAGTCCACGTGTGGAGCTCCGTGTCAATACGCCACGTGCTGCGTATTGCATATCGGGGCAGCTGAGGAGCGGTGTCTTCACAGTACAGTCGGCCCTGATCAGTAGGTCGACCCTGCCAAATCCAGGGTGCCCTCGTGTCCTGTGTCTCGGGGCCACTGCCTCCCACATTCCTGTGGCAACGTGGCCCTCGGGAGGGTCTTGTGTCCTCTCGCGTGTCCTGTCCAAATGCCTCCCACATTCCTGTGGCAACGTGGCCCTCGGGAGGGTCTTGTGTCCTCTCGCGTGTCCTGTCCAATCAAGTCCGACTGTACCACCCGCACGCTCTGCAAAACAACACCCCGTCGGGTACAGTCGAGGGTGTGAGAGGAATGGGCCCGAGGGAAAGCACGAGAATCGATGGTGGTGGGCCGCTCCGGGGCCCGCCTTCAGTGGAGGTGTCCCGCAACATTTTCCTGAACTGAATTCGACAAGCTTTCCTCGGAACGTCCGACATCTGTGCCTGCACACCGGGCAGCTGAACATACTCTTGATGAGTACAGGCGCGTGGCCCGCGGCGAGCAGCCTCTGTCGACGGACCGCGTCGGCGGCGAGGAGCCGGAGGACGGGGAGGCTGCCTGCCCACGCGGTCGGCCGTATTCCGAGAGAATCGGGGGTGGACAACACCCCCAACAGTGACGCGTCGATTAGTGAATTGTCCGTTTTCGGTTCTCGAGAGGGCGCCGCGGCCGTTATTTTCCAGGCTTGCGCCCGCCAGGTTTGGGCCTAAGCTGGTTCTCACTAAACCACGGTTTACTAAAGGGAGGTCTGTCCATCCCCGAGAGAACACGCGAGCAGCCTCCCGCTGGACTTCAGCCATCATCGCCTGGGCGGGGGCGCCGCCCAGCGAGGGAGCCTGGCGTGACGGCGGCCCGTCCTCCTTCTCCCTCCTCCTCCTCCTCCTCCTCCTCCTCCTCCTCCTCCTCCTCCTCCTCCTCCTCCTCCTCCTCCTCCTCCTCCTCCTCCTCCTCCTCCTCCCCTCCTCCTCCTCCTCCTCCTCCTCCTCCCCTCCTCCCCCCCTCCTCCTCCCCCTCCTCCCTCTCCTCCTCCGTCTCCTCCTCCTCCTCCTCCTTCTGCTCCTCCTCCTCCTCCTCCTCCTCCTCCTCCTCCTCCTCCTCCTGGGGAGGAGGGAGGAGCACCAGTGCGGGCCCCACGAGAGGATGAAGAAGCACCGTCACGGGTCCCAGTAGCAGTAGAGGAGGACGCCTGGGCGGTAGCCGGACGGCTGGCGCCCGGCCCAGCAGCAGCTGGAAGGCCCAGGCATGGTCTGCGCCACGCACGGCTGAGCTCATGCTGGTCAACCTTGCAGTCACACAATAACCATTCCCACCACGAGTCCTGCGATGACTTCCAACAGTCGGAGCAACATTCAGGAGGCTGGACATATTCGGGATCTACCTCCTCCATTGGCGGCGGCCACACGAATTCTGGAAACATTCAAGCCTCTGAGAGGCCCAAGGCTACGCCCATAAAAGACGTGGAGAGGGCTTTCGTCCAGATTAGTTCGACCCTCCCCGATCGGTTGTCGAGACAATCCGAAATCTGGAATCAGGGGGCGAGCACTGGCGAGTTCGCAGAGCAGCGATCAGAGCTCTCAGCCGCCCGAGGGCCCGCACAAGAGGGGGACGTAGTCCGAGAATGCCGCCACGTCGCCCACGCAGTGCACTAACAGCGTGAGGAAGACGAACAGTTCGGCCCTGGGACTGCTCTGCTCTCATCTATCGGCAACTCGGCCCCGGGCCCCCCCCGGCCGCAGCACAGCAGGGACACCTGATATACACCAAGTCCCCCATCCACCCCCTGGGGCCTCCCTGGCAGTAGCAGTAGCAGTAGAAGCAGTAGCAGTAGCTGAGGTTTGCTGTGGATGAACTCCCTTTCGGCACGCTCCGCCCCCCGGGGCCTCCCCGGCCCCTCCGGAGCTTCCGGGCAGGTTCCACATAGGTCCCAGTGGGGCCAACGTGGCTCCCGGACGGGCCCAGCTGGCGTCAAGACGGCCCCAAGAGGCCCCCAAGCCGCCCCAAGACGGCTTCAAGAGGACGCCCAAGAGGGCCCGAAGAGGCAAATATCTTGACATGCCTCGTCGCGGTTGTAACCAAGGGGGAGACCAAGCCGCGGAACAGCGGCTTCCACTTGGTTCACCTGGGAGCCATGCATCTTGAACCACAACGGCAACCGGGAAGGAGGAGGAGGAGGAGGAGGAGCAGCAGCATCAGGAGTAGAAGGAGGGGGCGGATCAGGAGGACCGGGAGGGCTCGGAGGAGGGGAGAGGAGGGGGCGACAGCGACGAGAAAGTCATCGATTGCAGAAGCGTGGCCCGCGTTGGGCCCAGAGAGCACTTTTGGACGACTTGAGCAAAGCGCCTGCCGTGAAATGGCCAACGTTGCAGCGGGGACGTCGCTTTGAGAGACCGATGGCTCCACGAGTGGAACACAAGCACGTGTGCGAATAGAAGTAGATATATAAACGAATGTATACCTATACGACCACCCTTGGGGTGAGAAGGAGGTTCGGGGGGGAGGAACCAACGTCTCACTCGATCGGTCTCACTATCGATCCCAATATCGATCTCACTATCGGTCTCGCTCGAGCAATCTCACTCGATCGATCTCACAATCGATCTCACTCGATCTATTTCATTCGATCGATCTCACAATCGATCTGACTATCGATCTCATAATCGACCTCACTATCGATCCTATTATCGATATCACAATTTATCTCACATTCGGCCGCACTATCGATCTCACGATCGATATCACAATCAATCTCACAATTAACGTCATCACCATCATCAACATCATCGTCATCAACGTCATCATCATCATCATCATCATCATCATCATCATCATCATCATGATCATCGGGACACCATCATCGTCATCACCTCATCACCATCATCAACATCATCATCATCTTCGGGACACCATCATCATCATCATCACCATCATCGGAACACCACCATCCTCATCATCATCCCATCATCACCAGCATGAACAACATCACAACATCATCAGCATCAACATCATCGGGACACCATCATCATCAGCAACATCATCATCATCATCATCATCATCATCATCATCATCATCTACATCATCATCATCATCGGGACACTATCATCATCGTCACCATCATCATCACCATCATCATTGGGACACCATCATCAACATCAGCATCATCATCACCATCAGCAGGCCACCATCATCAAAATCATCACCATCACCTCATCATCATCATCATCAACATCATCATCGGGACACCATCATCCTCATCATCATCATCAACAAGATCATCACCATCGGGACACCATCATCATCTCCGTCATCATCAACAGCATTATCATCAACCTCATCATCACCATCATCGGGACACCATCATCATGATCATAATCTCCATCATCATCACCTCTTCAATATCTCACCATCAGCAACATCATCATCAACATCATCATCATCGGGACACCATTAGAATCACCATCATCACCATCATCATCAACATCGTCAGCATCATCATAGTCGGGACACCATCATCATCACCACCATCACCATCATCATCATCATCATCATCATCATCATCAACATCATCGACATCATCGACATCATCATCATCATCCTCATCATCATCATCATCATCATCATCATCATCATCATCATCATCATCATCATCATCATCGGGACACCGACGGGACACCGGCGGGACACCGGCGGGACACCTCGGGCCACCGGCCCCCAGAAAGGAATCATTTGGTCCGGCCGCGCCTCAGCCGGAGGCGGGACACCGGCGGGACACCGCGGGCCACCGGCCCCCCCGGAGAGGAGTCATTTGGTCCGGCCGCGCCTCAGCTCCGGAGGAGACTTTCTTCTCGCCCGCCCACGCAGCTTCGCCTCGCCCGCACGCACGGCACGCACGAACACGAAACCGAAACCGATTTCCCCGTAGGGAGGCTCTCCGTTCCACTTCGATCTCACCCCCTCACCTCCGACATATGTATATATATACACACACATACACATAAATGTAGCGAGTTTGGAGCTCCTTGCTGTACGAGAGCAGCAGTACCGCGGGGAGAAGCGGCGCCTCGCTCGCACAGTATCCAGGAGAGGAGAGAAGGGACGAAGGTGGATGGAGGAAGTCACCACCCAGCAACCCACCTCAACCCAACCCGAAGGCCCCGATTTGCCCTCCATTCCCAGTGGTGGGGGGGCGGCGGGGAAAACCGAAAAAATGTGTGTGGAACCCGTACTCCCCCCAACTCGAACTCTGGGTCTTCGGGATAGGTTGGGATGGTTTTGTAGGTAGGCTGGAGAGAGTTGATGAGGGCGGAAGGGGGGAGGACGAGGATGAATCCGTTCCAGGGCGTTCCGGAACGATCTCAGAGCGTTTTGGAACGCTCCGAGAAGGCCGCGGCGCCCGACACATCCTCCAGAGCCGCCAGATCTCAGAGATATTTGATCTATCCTCACGCGATGTTAACTTCGTCCTGGTTTCGTCTGATGAGGGCGGGAGGGGTGAGGACAAGGACTGTCGGTCGAGGCGTCAAGGGGCTGCGTGAGCCAGAAGGCGTCGCAGGCGGTGGAAGGATCCTTCTGGTTTGGCGCGGCACCGGTGGTGCCACTGATCTTTGCATGGTCGCGCGATTCCCTCAGGGGACGTCCGCGCAAGCCCATGATGAGCTTGAGAGCGTTGGCTTTGGCAGCCTCCCCCTCCTCATCCCAGCTCTTCCTCATGCTCCTAGTATGTCTCCTCAAGTTGGCTCTGGGCTGGCTCCCACTTGTCCTAGCAGGCGGACGTCGCTAAGGTTTCATCATATGCTCTTCTGTTGTCCATTAGCTGGTATCCGCTCCTCTCCTCTCCGCCCCCTCTCCCTTCCGTCAGTGCATGGGCTTCCGATTACACATTTCATTTCTAAATATTCGAAAGTTCTTTGATTTTTTGGGGCCAAGATCCTTTCATTACTAATTGTTCTCTCCTGGGCCTCTTCGTGGCCACTAGGGGGCCAGGAACAATTAGAAACGAGCGCACTTAGAAATGAGCACGATCAGAAATGAACGACGTGTACACATCTTCATGTGTTACTATGTTGTGCGGTCATGTCCTGTCGCCTCGTTCGCCTCGTCCCCAAACCCGCTGTGCCCCGCTCATCATGAGTTGACCCTTCTCAGCTTGCACGCCCGGCATACGAGCCCTTTCCGAGGACCATCAGCAGCTGCGCCCGTCAACAGCTGTTTACCGCCTCTCCAAGAACTTCCACCTCGACGTCTCGCTCTTCGAGCGGCTCATCAAAAACGGAGCTCCGTGCGGGGGGTCACGCACACTGGTCGTTCTTCTCTGTGCTTCTTCAGATGAGCGGGTGCGTCCTGAGGGCCGCGGCTTTTGCACTTCAATGGAACAGAGTGACCATGGGTTGCGTGAGGGCGCGCTCTCGGCGCGGGAGGGGGCGAACATACCGTAGGTGCATCAAATGGTGGACCAGCCTGACAGCAGGTTCTCCGAAGAAATGTTTGATCCCCCCATGGTCCTGGAGACCTGCAGGACCTTTCGATCGTCGACCAAACGCGCCCCTAGCTTTGCTGCAGCGGGATGTTGCATCGTACGCTCTCGCTGCATCTCGAGGCGCGCAAGAAGAGCCACCGGCGAGGCCACTGGCCAAGGGGGTCGGGGCCAGGGTAGGGCGGGCCCCAGCGCCCCCCTCCGTTGCTGCTTCGTCCGGGCGGCGGCGGAGACTGCCTGCGGCCTCTCCGCTCTCTCTGGCAGCCTCGCGCTTGACGCTGGCCGAGGTCGGTGCCCGTGGGGCCGAGGGGTGTGGCAGCGAGCGGTGCTGCCTGGCGCCAGCGTCGGGGACCAGCATCTGGCGGCGACCAGCGTTTTGGACGCGCCTTTCTCCCAACCCTCGTGCGTGTAGCGGGAAGCCCCCGAGTTGAGTCCGCAGCGCCGCGCGTCTCCTCACTCGCCGCCCCCGCCTCCCCCATCCTCTGCCTGTCTGGCGGAGGGAGGCCGCCCACCGTCGAAGGCAGGACTCAATGATATGCGGCTGCCAGGACAGAGGAGTGCGGCCAGGGCGCCCGCGGGCAGCAGAGGATTTCAACAAGAGGCCCTCCAGGAACAAGCATCGTCCGGGGGCGGGAAGACTCTGAGTCGTCGAAGGAGGAGGAGAAGGATGGGGAGGAGGATGTGGATTAGGAGGAGGAGGAGGAGGAGGAGGAGGAGGAGGAGAAGGAGGAGGAGGAGGAGGAGGAGGAGGAGGAAGAGGAGGAGTGCGGTCAGGGCGCCCGCGGGCAGCAGAGGATTGCAACAGGAGGCCCTCTCAGCCGTCAGGCGGCCACAGGAAGCAGGGGGCCCCACGGCTGGCCTTAGGTGGGGCACGTCCCTCTACAGGGGGAATACTCAGAAAGATTACCAAAACACTGTGGTGGCGATTTCTCGTGCTCGCCTGACTGTTTTCGAATATTCGAGTACTGTGTTTGACAATCGCGAGAAGATGCCGGACCGAAGGCCTGCACTGAGTCCTCTGTCCTCTGTCCACCCACGCAGGTCGGCTCAGGGGGAGGGGGGAAGGCTTCTTAGAAGCACCCCTGCTCCTTAGGAGGCGCGGGCCTTGTCTGTAGATGTGAGGCCCGTGCCTTCTGAGAAGCAGCCTCCTCTAAGAAGCCTTCCCTCCTTCCCCTACCCCCTTGTGCGCGCCGCCAAGCAGCCGCCGAGCAGCCGCAGCTCCAGAGGAGAAAGAGCACAGACACGAGGGCGACGAGGACGATGCGGATGACGACGGCGAGGAGGAGGAGGAGGAGGAGGAGGAGGAGGAGGAGGAGGAGGAGGAGGGGGAGGAGGGGGGAGGAGGAGGAGGAGGAGGAGGAGGGGGAGGAGGAGGAGGAGGAGGAGGAGGAGGGGGAGGAGGAGGATCCGTAGCCATTTTGGCTCAAGTCCGTAGCGTTTCGCTCAGGGACCGAGGCCTTTTTGGCGTGGGGGAGGCGCGCCCCTGCCAGTGATCCTGCGATCTCTCTTTCTTTCTTTCGCTCACAGCCTACAGTCTGGCTACTGTAAGTTCTGCGGCCGTCAGTTCCCATGGGGCGCAATGGCGGCGGCAGGCAGCAGGCGTTCAGTGCGACCTGGACCTGCTGCAACAAGAAGTGCGGCTTCGGCAACAATTTCCCATGGCGTACGACGTGCTGGGCGTGTGGCAAGCCCAAAGGAGCGGTCCCTGCACCGGCGGTGCCGCGCCCTCCTGCTGGTGCTTGGGTTCGTCCTCCTCGGCTGCAGCCACAAGGTGGCTCACCTGGTGCTGGGCAAGGGCCTGGCGCAAGCGGCGGCAAGCTCACCCCTGAGCGCAAGGACGCATTGCTTGCCATGTCCGCTGAGCACTTCGAGGCCTGCAGCATCTGGCTGTCGCCTGGTCAGAAGGCGCACTTGCTGGGGCTGCGTGCCGTGCAGACAGGCGACCCGCTGGCCCTCAGTCGACAGGCCAAGCAGCAGCACGACACGCTCAAAGATCAGGTCGCCAAGGCCAAGAACGCCTGGGAGAAGTCTCAGGAGGTGCTGGCCAAGCAGCTGCAGAAGACGGCGGAGCTCAAGGCGAAGTTCATGGAGCTCGAGGCCAAGGAGCTCGAGGCGGCCCGCGCTGCTGCCAGCGCCTTCTCCGAGCTCGGGCGTGCCTCCAGGCCTCAGCCTGCTGACCATGCTGCTTACCTTGTGGAGCAGCTGCGTGAGCTGGGTGTCGAGGCGGGCGTGGTCGACTCGATCAAGCAGGTCGCGGAGGCCCGCCAGAAGGCCAAGAAGGATGAGGAGGAAGCGGCGGCTGCTAAAGCTCGTGCTGAGGAGGCAGATCGTCTTCATGAGCGTGACGCTGGTGGTGCTGCTGCTGATACCAGCGACGCTGCAGGCGATCACGACCTCGACATGGATGCAGCCATCGGCAACCTCAAGCAGGGCGACTGGATGGACAAGCTCGTCAGCTCTGCAGGTGAGAGCGGCATCACTCGATCGCAGCTGGAGGCTGCGCTTGATGAGGCCGGTGCTGATTTCAAACGCAAGCGCCTTTAGCCGTGCGGCTAGATGCGCAATGGGGCCAAAGGCCCCGAGGTTTTGGAATATTGTCTCTGCCAATGTTACTGATCGCTCTGGGCTTGACATTTTCCTCTCCTCCCCCTCTGTGCTCCAGGCTCAGCTTGTCGGTGTGCAGGAAACGCGGGTGTTGGAGGTTGAAGCTTGTGAGCATAAACTCAGGCGACAAGGGTGGAGAGCCAAACTTTCGCCAGCCCGTCAGACGGCTGGAGGCGGCATATCTGCTGGCATTATGCTTGCTGTGCCAAAGCATATCGGCCTGGCGCCGATTGAGAGCTTTCCGATCGACGTGCAGGTGGGGAGGATGATGGTTATGCATGTGGGAGGTCTCGTACCTGGGGGTTTCCTAGCGTGCACGCTCTATCTGCATCACTCTGTCGGACTTGCGCCAGCCAACTGGGATCTTCTCTGCAGGCTAGGCGCGCTGCTGAAAATGGCCAACATGCCTTTCCTCATCTTCGGGGACTTTAATCTCGAGCCCGACGTGCTCCAGCATTCAGGCTGGATTGATGCAATCGACGGTGCTGCCATATACACGGATGCTGGAACATGTGCTCCAGCGCACAGGACCATCGACTTTTTCGTGGTCTCCCAGGCGTTTGCGGCGAACGCCTCGGTCTCACTGTTGGCAGAAGTGGAGATCACTCCGCATATTCCAGTTAAGTTGAAGTTACCCACCTTGGACACTGTACCCTCGGTGCGCATGGCTATGGTTCCCCGCAGGTTCCCCAGAGAGTTGCCCATCGGTTGCCGTGGAGAGCCCAACCTAGCCAGGTGGGAGGTGGTTTCGGAGATGATGAGCAATGCCTGCATATCTAAGTCGTGGCAAGTTTTCGTCTCGGCTGCCGAGCTTGAATGGTTAGAGGTGTTTCAGATTCCTGCTGAGCTTTCGAAACCGTACCTTGGGCGTGGTGGTGTTGTTCGTACTGGGTGGTGTCGACCGAGCCGGCCTGCTCCAGTTCCGTTTCCACGTCTGAGCCCTCAAGCTGTGTGGTGGAGAGCCTTGGCCCAGGTCCTCAAGACCCTCACGAGGCCCATCAGCGTTGCCCAGACCAAGCAAGTGCGGTGCAGGATCCGACATCTTCAGAGTTCGCCTGATATTCCAGATTCGAATCTCGCGGTCTGTTTCCTGGAGGCCCTTGATTGGTTTCACGTCTTTGATTACGTAGTCATGGACTATTTCGCCGCCGTCGCCAGCGACACTGCCGAGCGCCTGCACAAGCAGGCAACCCAGCTGAAGATAGTCAACTGGGACCGATGGGTTAAAACGCACTCGGTAGGTGGGGCTGCGGCGCTCTTCAAGTATGTGCAGCTGCCTGACCCTTGGCAGCCGTCCACCCTCGACTCCTTCGCCCTCCGTCCTAACTCCAGCATGGGGGAAATGGATGAGCTTGAAAGGGAGTGGAGCAAGTGGTGGCAGGTGGGGGTCGCGCAGCCCCCCGTGCACTGGCCAAAGGATCTCGGAGAGCGCTCGCCTCCCCCCACGGTCCCAGAGCTCAAGAAAGTGTTGATGTCTTTCCCGATAGGCACTGGTTGTGGATACGACCAGGTCCCGCCTAGGAGTTTTCTGCACTTGCCCGACGTTGCGCTCGAGCTTTTGTGCGGCCTCATCGGGAAGATTGAGGAGCAGGCGGACTGGCCTCCCCTCACGAACAAGATTGTTTTTATTCTCAAAAGATTGGGAGGAGTCCGACCCTTGGGGCTGCTACACGTTCTCTGTCGGGTGCAGTCCAGGCTGAGAAGGCCTTTGATCAGGCAATGGCAAGTCAAGAACTATCGGAGTTTCTGGTGGGGTACTAAAGGGAAAAGCGCTGACATGTGTGTTTACATTCAGGCAGTGTGGGCGGAGTATTATCAGTCCAAGGGCCTGTCATCTGCCACGTTGCTGCTCGATTTGAAGAAAGCGTTTGAACTGGTCAAGCATCATCATCTTGTCCAGGCGGCCGCTCGCACTGGATTTCCGTTGTGGCAACTGCGTTTGCTGGTGCAAGTCTATCGGTCGCCCCGCCTGCTTGATCTCCAAGGGACCGTCAGTAATCACATCACGGCGGAAACTACGATTATCCCTGGGTGTGGTTTTGCTACCGTTTTGCTGCAACTGGTTTTGTTGGGCCCCCTGGATGTTGTTCAGAAAGAGTTTCGGGCCATCTGTCTTTCCGTGGTTGTCGACGATTTTGCGTTGCAGAGATCGGGGGAACACGGCCGAGTAGTTGCTGATGTAGCTGGTGCTGGAGTGAAGCTTCAGTGCGAGCTGCAGCGTGTGGATCTACGGCTCGCTCTTGACAAGACGCGAGTTCTTGCTAGTGACTCTGATTTACGTGACCAGCTGTCCAGGAGGCTGGTATCCCTCAGGGCCCAGGGCGTGAACCATGAGCGCAACTTGGGGGTTGACTACAGTTCAGGTCGGTTTCTCAGGAGGGCCACCAGGACGGGCAGAATCAAGGTCGCCAAACCCAAGCTCAAGAGAATGAAACATCTCCAGGGAGGTATGGCCAGGCGGAAAACCATGGCCATCATGGCCAGGGCTGCCCTGGAGACTTCGGTTGCTTTTGGGACCTCTGTTCAGGGTACTGCCTCTAAGGAGCTGGACGTGTTGCGATCCCAGGCCGCTGCGGCGCTCGACGCCAAGACCAGCGGCAAGAGCCGCACTCTCGCTCTCGCGCTTGCGCCGCAGGCCAACTACGACCCGATTTGGAGGGCTACTCTGGAGCCTATCAAAGCTTTCAGCTCTGTTCTTTGGGCGTCGCGCGTGCCATGTCATGTACTTGAGCATGGCCTTGAGGCTGCTAGATTGGCGTTGTCTGGGAAGGACCAAATGTGGCCGCAAGTTCGGGGCCCCTTGGGAGCCCTCTTCGCTACGCTCGCCAGAGTCGGGATCGTCGTCGTTGAGCCCCTGGTCTGGAAGTTGCCTGATGGTCTGGAGCTGAAACTCAAGGACATTTGCCCCAGGGTCCTACTGCACTGCTGTGCGCATGCGGTGCGCCACTGGATCAACCTGCAGATTTCGGAGCACCTCCAGATGCCTGAGTTCCGTACTGGGTTCTGGGATGGGCCTCTGAAGTACCTCCTGAGCGCCAAGGGGAACCTCACTTGGCAGCAGCGTGGCTACCTCAGGAGTGCTATCATTGGAGCTCAGTGGCCCCAAGTTCGGCAATTTCAACAAGGATGGATTGACTCCCCGAGTTGCCTTGCATGCCATGAGGCCCCTGGGTCCCTCGTGCATCGGCACGCTGTTTGCAAGAGCATGCTTGAGGCAATAGGAGAGCCACTCCCTGATGCAATCAGACTCATGCTCCCGCATGCGGACCAGAATGACCTGGTGCGCCTGTTGCTGGAGCGTGTGCTCGTCCCGCTCCCCAAGGCCCCTCAGGCAGTGCTGCTGACGCCGTCGGAGCCCTGTGTGGAATGGCACGGGGATGCGCAACAGCTCACAGGGGATCTTTATCTTGATGGCTCTCTGTTTACTGATTATCCACATCGCGGGACCGCTGCATGGGCAGTTGTTGCGCTGGCCGCCGACAGCGACACGGCTGCCTGCACCATCACAGGTCTCCTGCCCTACCCGCTGCAGGACATAGACGGTGCCGAGCTGTATGCCCTGTTCGCAGTGCTCAGATTTGCGGTGCCACCTGTTGTCGTGCACACGGATTCCGATTTCGTTTGGAAAGGTTACAACATCCGCGGACCTGCTGACACCACGTCGGCGTCGGCGGCTTGGGCCTGTCTGTGGAAGCTCGTATGGCACAAAGTCGATGACTGGGGGGGTACCCCCCCTGAGGTAAAGAAAGTGAAAGCCCACGTGACAGATGTTCAGGTTGTGGAGGGGAGGTATAAGCTCCGAGACAAACTTGGAAATGATGCCGCCGACGGTGCTGCGAACAGTCGTGCTCGTGTCCTGCGGCCCGATCCCCAGTTTCAGAAGCTTACGTTGTTGCAGAAGAGAATGGTCAGTCTTACGGGGAAATGGGCCGCCAGGGCGGGTGAGGCCATTGCATCTGTAGACTGTTTGCACCGCCAGCGCTCTGCACGTTCAGCCCCCTCCCTAATCATTGTCAAGCCAGAGCCGCCCACCCTAGAGCAAAGGATCCAGCAGGCTCAGGTCTCCCTGAAGGCCGCTGGGTCCAAGCATCATCGTGTGGCCTCGCTGTTCGTGGGCGAAACCCAAGTGTTTTGTTGCACTCACTGCGCTGCATGCACCACCCAGCGCGTGGTGTCTCTTGCGAGTGAGTGCCAGCCCCGTCATCTTTCGAAGGATCGTCGCCTAATCCTGGAACGATTGAGACGGGGCGAGTACTGTTTTGCCAAGAGGGTTCTGAGGTATGCAGGTTATCGCCTGCTCCCAGAGCCCTAATCCTTGTCAATGGCCAGCGGGGGGTGCGGTGCGAGTGGGGACTGCCCGGCGTTGCGCCGTTAGTGACCCTCGCACCGCATCTCCTCGGCCCCGCGCACGGCGCGGAGTGTGTCCGATGGGCGCGGCTAATGGCGGTTGCAAGGTGCGCCCCTAGCCGCGTTCGAGGTCCTGCTGAGGCACCATAGACTCTGTGGCGCCCCAGGCTGTGCCCAGGAGGAGGAGGAGGAGGAGGAGGAGGAGGAGGAGGAGGAGGAGGAGGAGGAGGAGGAGGAGGAGGAGGAGGAGGGAGGAGGGCCAGGTGGGAGGGGGGGGGAAGGGAGGAGGGCCAGGGGGGAGGGGGGGGAGCTCCCGGCGGGCCCTCCCGCGGCGGGAGGCGCAGACCACGAGACTCTGCTGCAGCAGCGGCGGATGCACCCCAAGGCTCGCCCCCCCCCCCGCCGCACGGGGCCTGGGCCCGCGCTCCGCGCACGCGCGGGGCCGCGCGCGGTGGGCGCCCAGCCGCCCGCCGCCCGGGGGCAGCATCGGAAGGGGAGGACACGCCGATGCCGGTTCCCTCGGGTCCTCCTCCCCCTCCTCCTCCACCTCCCTTTTCCTCCTCCTCTCCTCCTCCTCCTCCTCCTCTCCCCCTCCTCCTCCTCCCCTCCCCTCCTCCTCCTCCTCCTCCTCCCTCCTCTCCTCCTCCTCCTCCTCCCTCCTCCTTCCTTCTCCTCCTCCTCCTCCTCCTCCTCCTCCTCCTCCTCCTCCGGGTCTTTGGTTCCCCGAACGGATGCGACCCTCGACCCCTCCCGCCGGTTGCGACGGGGGGGGAACAAGAACCAAGAGGTAACGAGGGAGACGAAGTAGGATAGATGACGAACACGAAGAGGCTTCACCCGAGAGACGGGGGGAGGGGAGCAGGGTGAGGCTGTCTGTGGCGGCCCGTGTGCGCGTGCAGGTGTGGCCCAAGCGTGAACCCCGGCCCCCTGCGGAGAGCTCTAGGCCTCCCAGATGGGGTCGGAGTAGATGGGGTCGGGGGATCGCGCCGCAACGCCGATGCATCGCCGATGCGGCTCGATGTGGAGCCTGATCTGCTTCGCGTCAACGTCGCCGATGCCTCGCCGACATCGACGATGCGTCGCCGGTGCATTGCCGATGCATCGGCGATGCATCGCCGATGCATCGGCGATGCGGCGCGACCCTCCGACCCCATCTGCTCCGACCCCCTCTGGGAGGCCTCTAAGAGCTGAGGTCCACCTCGGCCCGCCTTTCCTGCAGTGGGACCCAGCGCCCTCGCATCCTGCACGGAGGCCGGAGGTGAGGTGGGGAGGGGCCAGGTGCTCCAGAGTGCGGGTGGCGACGCGGCTGGCGCAGCGGAGTGGGCGGCGCGGGAAGGGGGGGGGGGGGGGGCAGAAGGCGACAGGCGCTGTGGACGGCACGAGGTGGCAGCGAGGCAAGCGAGGCGGCGCGCGGAGGAGGGAGAGCGCAAGAGGGGGGACAGAGCGAAGGGGTGGGGAGGTGGGTGCGGCCCGAGCGGGGCCCTCAGCCCCCCGAGCATGGGGGAATGAAGGCTCACGACCACGGGCCTCTGCCACTGGCCTGTGCCGACGGTGGTCCATCTTTCCACTCCCTGCCCGGCATAGCGATCGTCTTCTTATTTATTGTCTTGCCGATCGACGCGGGCCCTCGCCCACCCACCCCGTGATCCCCCTCCACATGGAGTAGATGTTGGCTGTTCTTGGCGCCTGCTTCGAGCAGGTGGAGTCTCCCCCACAGGACGCACTTTTGCAAACGGTCGCACTGAGCAGAGGTCCGGAGTCAGGACAACGTCCCGAGGCGGCGGGGATGAGCGGGAAGGGGGAGAGAGGAGAGGGGAGGGAGGCGGGTGGAGAAGAAGGGGAAAAGGGAGGAGGAGAGGTCGGGAGGGGGGAGGGAGACGAGAAGGGAGGGAGGGAAGGAGGAGGTGGAGAGGGGGGAAGAGGGAGGACGACGGGGAGGGATGGAGGGGAATGTAAGGTGACGGTGATGATGATGATGATGGTGATGATGATGCTGCTGCTGCTGATGATGATGATTATGATGATGCTGATGATGCTGATGATGATGATGTTGATGGTGCTGATGATATTGATGATGATGATGATGATGATGCTGCTGATGATGTTGATGTTGATGTTGATGTTGATGATGTTGTTGAATATGATGGGCATGGCATCATGACCCATGGATCGTGGTCATGGTCATGATGGTGATGGTGATGGTGGTGATGAAGAGGGTGATGGTGATGATATGATGGTGATTAAGATATTGATGATGATGGTGCTGATGGTCATGATGTTGATGACGACAACGACGACGACGATGATGGTGATGATGATGATGATGAGGATGCTGATGATGATGATGATGATGATGGCGCTGGTGATGGTGATCATGATGACGACGGTAATGATAACAATGACGACAAAGGAGAGCGATACTGATGACGATGATCAGGATGAGGAGGAGGAGGAGGAGGAGGAACACTGAAGACAGATAAGTATGACGATGGCGATGGTTGTTATGAAGATGGGTTGATAACGAGGATGAGGACAATTGCTTGATGATGGTGACGATGGTGATGACGATGGTAATGATGATCATTATGATGATGGTGCTGATGATGCTGTTGATGGTGGCGATGGTGATGATGATGATGATGATGGTGATGACGACACTAATGACGAAGATGATGATGATGATGATGATGATGATGATGATGATGATGATGATGATGATGATGACGATGAGGATGAGGATGAGGATGATGATGGTGATGATTATGCTGATGGTGATGGAGATGGTGGTGGTGATGCTGATGGTGATGGTGATGATGATGGTGATGGTGATGGTGCTGGTGGTGATGATGGTGATGATGATGATGATGATGATGATGATGACAATGATGGTCATGATGATGATGACGATAGTGATGATGATGATGATGATGATGATGATGATGATGATGATGATGGTGATGCTGATGATGCTGCTGATGATGATGCTGATGATGATGGTGGTGGTGATGATGGTGATGAGGAGGAGGAAGAGGAGGAGGAGGAGGAGGAGGAGGAGGAGGAGGGCTGCACCGGCGAGGTGTCGCGCCTCATCAAGCCCTACTACCCGGAGCTGCGCGACCACCCGGTGGGTGGGTGCGGGGGGGTGGCTTCTGCCACGGCCTCACGCCCCGCGGCGCGGTGCCCTCCCGCTGCCGCGGGGGGGAAAGCCCAGGCCCGCCAGGTTTCCCAGACCTCCTCGCGACGTTCTCAGGGTTTCTCCATGCGTTCTCGTCAATTCTGAAAGATGTTCTCGCCTCGGGGTGGCCTGACCTGGGCACGGCGCCTCGGCGCTATGGGCGCGGCTTCCTTCTGCGTCACGCCCGGCCAGCGCGAGACGGACAAACAAATGTTCTCGCCTCGGGATGCGTTCCAGCAGCTGCGCATCGTCGAGAGCGTTTTGGGAGTGCCCGGGGATCGTCCCGATGGGCCACCAGAGGCCCTAACTAGGACCCGGAAACCAAACCGCCTCGCGCCGCGAAAAATAATCCCGGCGAAGGACCCAACCATCTGCAGTTGTGAGTACCGCAATTGTGAATATCTTCTTCGGTGGCGCTCCCTATGGGGCCACGAACCGTATGAAGGGGTGCCGAAATGGGTGTGCGGGACGCATGCGGGTACACCCACTGGGACCTTCGGTGGAGCTCCGTATGGGGCCACGGAACGTGTGAGAGATGTGCCGAAATGGGTGTGCGGGGCGCAAGCGGGCACACCCACTGGGACCTTCGGTGGAGCTCCTTATGGGGCCACGAAACGTGTGAGAGGTGTGCCGAAATGTGTGTGCGGGACGCATGCGGGCACACCCACTGGGACCTTCGGTGGAGCTCCCTATGGGGCCACGAGACGTGTAAAGGGTGTGCCGAAATGGGTGTGCGGGACGCATGCGGGCACACCCACTGGGACCTTCGGTGGAGCTCCGTATGGGGCCACGAAGCGTGTGAGGGGTGTGCCGAAATGGGTGTGCAGGACGCATGCGGGCACACCCACTGGGACCTTCGATGGAGTTCCCTGTGGGGCCACGAAACGTGTGAGGAGTGCCGAAATGGGTGTGCGGGACGCATGCGGGCACACCCACTGGGACCTTCGGTGGAGCTCCGTATGGGGCCACGAAGCGTGTGCGGGGAGTGCCGAAATGGGTGTGCGGGACGCATGCGGGCACACCCACTGGGACCTTCGGTGGAGCTCCGTATGGGGCCACGAAACGTGTGAGGAGTGTGCCGAAATGGGTGTGCGGAGGAGGAGGAGGAGGAGGAGGAGGAGGAGGAGGAGGAGGAGGAGGAGGAGGAGGAGAGGAACGCGGGGCACCGTCTTCAAAACGAGGACCCAACACCACAGGATGGTTGGGAAAAACACGACGGAGGGTTTGGGGGCGTCCTACGTCGTCACCCGTTTCAGGTCCTCGGCAACCCCCACTGGCCCACGGTATCTCAGCCCCACCAAGCCCGCCAGAATGGGTGGAGATAGAGCCCTCGAAGCCCGCGGGGAACCGCTGATAGAGCCATGGCCTCTCACGTCGTCACCCGCATCGGTTCCTCCGCATCATTTAATCGTCCCCCCATCCCCAGCCGGGCACGGTAACTATCTCAGTCCAAACTTGCCCAACCCTTTGGGCGGGGACAGGTCCTTCGAAAGCACAAACCTGTCAGGTGGGGGCCAGGAGGGGTACCACATCCAGAAGCGACAAAGTCAGATCCATGCTGGCGGAACTCAGATCCACCGCAAGTCCAATATCATTCGAAATCAGACCCTAGCACCATTACGCTTCATCCATCGCAATTATAGTCATACCTGTCGTGGCCTCATTAAGCCGCACGCCCCGAGTCGAACTAAGACAAGTTAGCTTGGCGAAGGACCCAACCACATGCAGTTGCAAGCACCGTCGTGGAATGCACCACATTCGGAGGAGCTCCTTATGGGGCGTTTCTACGTGTGAGTGGTGTGCAGCCACTGGGGACGTCGGTGGAGCTCCCTGACGGGCCGCGAAACGTGTGAGGTGTGGAGCAAGATGTGCGCGGTGGGCGCATCGGAGCGCAGCCACATGAGCCGTCGGTGGAGCTCCCTATGGGGCCACGGAGCGTGCGAGGGGTGTGCAAAACATGTGTGCGGTGGCCGTTTGGGAGCGCAGCGGTGGGCGCTTGTGAACGCAGCCACTGGAGCCGTCGGTGGAGCTTGCCCTGGGGCCGCGGCAAATGTGAGCGGTGTGCCAAAGTGTACGCGGCGGGCGCATGCGAAGGCAGCCGCTGGGGCCATCGGAGTTCCCGATGGGGCCGCGCAGCGTGTGAGGGGTGTGCCGGAGCAGAGGCAAGGATGGGACGAGGGCGGGGAGGGAGGAGGAGGAGGAGGAGGAGGAGGAGGAGGAGGAGGAGGAGGAGGAGGAGGAGGAGGAGGAGGAGGAGGAGGAGAGGAGAGGAGGAAGGAACGCGGGGCGCTGTCCCTTCAAAACTGGGACCCAACACCACAGGACGGTTGGGAAACACATGTTGGAAAGGGGATGCGCTCTGGTACCAGCTGAGAGCCACGATGCCTTCGGAAGCACATGGCGCATGGCACGGATACCCTGCGGTATGCACAGCAAGTTCGCACCTCTAAGCGGCGGCGACGCGGCGGTGACGCCGCCGCTGGCGTTCAAGGTGAAACAAGATGAAGGTAGCTGTCAGTGGAAAGATGAGGTAAGGTGAGCGCCGCGGTCGCGATGCGCGGCCGTATCGGCTCACGCGGTGCATTGATTATACGAGGCGTTACTTTGTGACGTCACGCGAGGCCCCGCCCATCGCCCCATTCGACATGTCGAGGACAACCATGTGTTTGATCGTCTCTACCACGTTCTTGATCAGCCGAGAGTTGCATGGGTAGCCCCATCTCACTGGACAAACCTACGAGGGCCAGTTCCAGCGCCTGGGACCTCCAGAAGAGCAGCATCGGCGCGCGAAGTCCGCGCGATGGGTGGTGCTGGCAGCCTCCGTGCAGTGCAGATCGTTCAGGGTCGAACGGTTTTGCGTTCTGCGCCATTTTTCGGGAGTGGACAGAACCCCCAACAGTGACACGTCGATTAGTACATTGTCCGTTTTCGGTTCTCGAGAGGGCGCCGCGGCCGTTACTTTCCAGGCTTGCGCCCGCCAAGTTTGGGCCTCAGGTCGTTTTCACTAAACCACGTTTTACTAAAGGGAGGTCTGTCCATCCCCGACTTTTGTCTGCCCCTGGGGTTCCAGGGTGTCGGACACCCCCGCTGGGGTTCACTTGGCTGCTGACCTCCGTCGGATTCTAAGCCCCAGCCAAGTCTCTTCGGTAGCGAATCATGCGGGCCTGGTACACCCTCTTGATTCCGTCTTCAGCGTCGACTGGCGTCGATGAGCGTCTGGGAGTCGATGAGATGTGCCGATTTAGCGTCGATTAGCGTCGATTAGCGTCGATTTAGCATCGATTTAGCGTCGATTAGCGTCAATGAGCGACGATTCGCAAGAGCCAACAAGATGGTATGGGAGGCTCCCGTGAGCTGTTTCCGAAAATTCTCTAGGACATCTGACCTGCAGGGGGTAGGGCTCATGGTTGGCTATACGCGTGGTGGCAGTTCACCGTTTTACCGTGGCCTCGCACCGTCAACGCTGGCCCCCAGGCGTGCCGAGGAAGCAGCCCCCGAGGGACCTCCAAGGCGGCCCAAGAGGCCTCCAAGGGGGGCCTCCAGGAGGGCCCAAAGACGCCCAAATCACTGATTCCCCTGGGGGGGTCGAAGTAGCTTGGCAGTTGCCTCTTTTCGGCCTTGGAAAAAAAACAAACAACGAAAAAAGCCTTCCGACGGCCCGAGAGGGCCCAAGAGTCCCCCACAATCGCCCCGAGGTGCGGCCGCACGGCCCGCCATACCTGCCTGGACGCCTCGGGATGTCTCGAGGGCCACTCCACGAGGCGGAGCTGCTCGTCCCTCGTCCTCGTCTTCCTCGTCGTCGTCGTCGTCGTCGAGGGCCTGGAACTCCCTACGCCTCCAGGTACCTCCGGAGACCTCCTCAGGCCTCTGGAGACCCCCAGAGGCGGCAATCGTCTTCACCTCATCGTCGTCCTCGTCGTCGTCCCCGTCCTTGTCCCCATCATTGTCCTCGCCCTCGTCCCCGCCCTCGTCTCGTCCCTGTCGTCGCCGTCGTCGTCGTCGTCGTCGTCGTCGTCGTCGTCGTCGTCCTCATCCTCCTCGTCGTCGTCGTCCCCGTCCTTGTCCCCATCATTGTCCCCGCCCTCGTCCCCGCCCTCGTCTCGTCCCTGTCGTCGTCGTTGTCCTCATCCTCTTCGTCGTCGTCGTCCTCGTCTTCTTCGCTGAGGACCGCGAAGGTCCTCCAGACGCCTCCAGAGATCTCCGGAATCTTCGTTAGATCTCCGGAGACATTCAGAGGCGTCCGTCGTTGTCCCCGTCGTCGTCGTCCCCGTCCCCGTCCCCGTCCCCCCGCCCCCGTCCCCGTCCCCGTCCCCGTCGTCGTCCCCGTCCCCGTCCACGTCCCAGTCCTCGTCCTCGTCGTCGTCGTCGTCGTCCTCGACGTCGTCCTCGTCGTCGTCGTCGGTATCGTCGTCCTCGTCAGCGTCCAGCGCTCGGGCGCCCCCGTCGTCCAGCAAACACCAGGACATAATAATTCTCTAAGGAGGATGTGGGGGTACAAAAACATTACGCTACCGAGGGACCCCACATACTTAAGTTAAGTCTTGTGTGTCTGCTTATCGTTATGATATATGCGCAATCTTGCGTTCTAGGCACTCGTCGCGAATGTTTCCTTAACTTGTCATCCATCACGCTGCTGATGGAACCTCCTACCTCTTCCCCGCCTTCTGTCCTTCAACGGGAAAAAGTTCGATGTGGTCACCGAGGGCCGTTTCCCGGGGTCGCAACAATGATTGAGGTAATGCAAAACGATATGCTACATCGCGGTTAGTCAGAGGGCCCACTTTGGAAGTTGGGTGCAAATCACACCCCTTGCGCAACCGCTCTAGGGAGCCTCTAGAGTGACCCGTGTTCCCTCCCCTCATGCTGCGTTCTCCCGCACCCCTGCCTCCTTTTCTTTCCTCGGTCGGTCTGCTTTTTCTAGTCTCATGCAGTTTCCAGGTCTGTCGCCGCGTCTCTTCGACGGGGACAGCTGCATGCGAGGGGTGCCAGTGGACCGGACAGGCGTAGCAAGCATAACTGCTGGAGACCGCTGAGGAGTGAAGGCCTGCGTGGGCGTGGCCTTCGTGGGCGTGGCCTGCATGGGCGCAGCCCCCTTTGGGCGCAGCTAAAGTAGCGCATGGAGGCTGCGGGTTAGCGCCCGCGCTGCTAGCATCAGCGACCCGCCGAACCTTCGCTGGCGTCGGGCCGTCTTCTGTCGCCACCGTTCCAACCATCTCCGAAGGGGCGCCTCTTGGGACACCCGCCCGAGGCAGGGTTTTGCAAATATGTTACCAAGCACTCCCTCGTGTCATCATCGCTCGCTCCTTTTACTCAGCTCATCGCAGCGGATGAGAAGCGTATCAGGCCACCAGTGTGTCAGCTGGCGGTGGTAAGCTTTAAGCGCGCCTTTAACCCGAGCGCCCCCTTGGTCGCTCATTCGGACCAAACGTAAACCTGTCAGACTGATCGCGAAACCGCTCTCGACCATAAAAGCATTCAGCTGCAAGCGCGGAGGCGGCAGCTCGGCGATAGCCCACTTGGGAGGCATCTCGTTGAAAGGGAATATACGCCGCAACAGCGCAGAGACCCTGGCGGCGCGGCGCGGAAGCCAAAACGTGTTGTGCGTTCAACTCGAGCCAGAATGTTTACAGTCCTGCTGTGGAGGGAGTGTCACGCCGGGCATGCCTTGCGCAATGGTCCGCATAGACGCCGCGCTTAGGGACCACTCCCTGCGCACCCCCTATGGTGCCGAGAAAATGCCACGCCTGCTACGCCCTGCGCCATGACCCGCATAAACGCCGCGCTCGGGGGCCATTCCCTGTGCACCCCCTCTTGCTTCGAAAAAGTGCCACGCTTGCTATGCTCTGCGCCATGGCCCGCACAGACGCCGCGCTCGGGGACCACCCCCTGCGCACCCCTTATGGTGTCGAGAAAGCGCCACGCCTGCTATTCCCTGCGTCATGGCCCGCATAGACGCCGCGTTCGGGGACCACCCCGTGCGCACCCCACATGGTGTCGAGAAAGCGCCACGCCTGCTATTCCCTGCGCCATGGCCCGCATAAGCGCCGCGTTTGGGGACCACCCCCTGCACACCCCCGATGGTGCCGAGAAAAGGCCACGCCTGCTATTCCCTAAAATGCCACGCCTGCTATTCCTTGCGCCATGGCCCGCATAGGCGCCGCGCTCGGGGACCACCCCCTGCGCACCCCCTTGATGGTGTCGAGAAAGTGCCACGCGTGCTATGCCCTGCGCCATGGCACGCATAGACGCCGCGCTCGGGGACCACCCCCTGCGCACCCCCTATGGTGTCGAGAAAGTGGCACGCCTGCTATTCCCTGCGCCATGGCCCGCATAAGCGCCGCGTTTGGGGACCACCCCCTGCGCACCCCCGATGGTGCCGAGAAAATGCCACGCCTGCTATTCCCTGCGCCATGGCCCTCATAGACGCCGCGCTCGGGGACCACCCCCTGCGCACCCCTTTATGGTGTCGAGAAAGTGCCAAGGCATCCGTGCACTGCGAATGGTACACGCACGTCTTGTATATGGCATGTCGTGTTTATGTGGATGATGCGCGTGCGGCCGTATCGGGACGTGTGCCTCACGTGTGTGCCCAGTATGTAGCGCATACATGTGCGGCCGTATCGGGACGTGTGCTTCATGCGTGTGCCCATTATGTACGCATGCGTCGTGTATGTGTGTGTGTGTTGTGTGTGTGTCTGTGTGTGCGTGAGGAGAGGGAGAAGCAGAGGGAGGCGGGTGAGGAAGACGCGGGTGCGACGCGGCAGAGAAGAAAACCAGAACCCCACGAAACACGTGGGAAAAAGCATTGGTGTTGCACGCATGCTCCGCGCAGTGCATCGGCGATATGGTGCAGGCGGCTGCGGCGGTGCATACTGTGTTGCGCAGTGTGGTGGTTGATGTGATGCGTAGAGGCGCTGTGGTGCCGGAGCCACACGGCGACGGGGGGGGGCGTCACGTTGCCTCCCCCCCGCCCCCCCCATAACACTCAGTAGGGCCGCCACACAGACAGAATGCGCCCCCCAGAGGCCGCGGAGGCCGCAGGGTTCCCCCCCAAAAGCGGTGCTTGGCCCACGGGGTCAGGGCAAGGAAGCCAGAGGCGGGAGCCGCCAGCGGCTCCGTCCCGTTGGGGTTCCTCGGAGGCAGCCGCCGCGGGCGGCTGAGGCCGCGGCGGGCGTGGGGCGCGCGCCCCTCCAGCCATGGGGGGCGCCCGGGGGCCCGCGGCGCGGCACGAAGGGGCCCGAGCTGGGGCGAGCGCCTTTGAGCAGGGGGGGTGGCCCGTGCCAGAGCTACAGACCCTTTTTCCCCCCCCCCCCCCGCACACACACACACACACACACACACACACACACGCATATACACACACACACACACACGCACGCACGCACGCACGCACACACAAACAACAACAACACAACAACAACAACAACAATTACTAGCACGTGGGGACACTCCGTTCTCACCAGTGCCAGGGTTTTCATAGGAGGCGGGCAATACCCCCACTTTGTGGGGGGGCCGGTTCAAGCTCTACCAAATTTCCAAACGACTCTTCGCCACCACCCACACCCAGCTTCCCGCCCTATGACGTTCGGACACTTCACTTCGTGGCATGCGGACGACCGTGGCTACTATTCAGGGCCCCGCGGCCGACGACGACGGCGTGCGCGCGCGAAGAAAAAACGAATGTGTCCCGCATGGTATTATTTGACAGGGATGATGGCCCTGGCAGGTGCGCAACCGTTGTCGCAGAAGTTCGAAAAAGTTGCTCGCAAAAGCCCGTTTGACAGAAATGTTTAAAAAGTGTTGGGTTTCCTACGAATCCGCAAGAGCGCGCGGGATGAGATTTTGACATTTTTTTGTTGAAAAACCATTGGTTTTTTGATGTTTTTATGTTAAAATCGCTCCGAACACTAAGCTTTTGGAAGGATTTCGTCTTGCGCGCGCGAATGTCCACTTTACCTTATTTTTTGCAAGGGATTCTTGAAATTTGATTATATTAGAACAAGAAATGTCATTTTATAGTGTTTTTTGCAAGGGAAAACGGATTACAACAAAACAACCGGATCTGGATCACATCGTTTTACCTGAGGCTTCCTCACGAAAATGATGAAAATGTAGCTGCGGCCTAGGCGGCGCAGGGGGGGCGCGCACCAGGGGGCCCAACAATAATTATTCTTTAGAATAAATAATGTTCAACAACAACAACAACAACAACAACAACAACAACAACAACAACAACAACGACAACGACAACGACAGCGACAACGACAACGTCAACGACAACAACAACAACAACAACAACAACAACAACAACAAACACACGCACACACAAACAAACAAACACACACACATACACACACACACACACACACACGCGCGGGACCGCCCCCCCTCCCTGCCCGCGGCGAAGGGATCAAACGGAATGGGCGTCCCGCTTCCCTTCGGCTCGAGGACGACGTGTCTCATTTGCCCTGCTACGAGAAGTGGTCGTTAAGGCCGGCCCTCAGGAAACTGCCACGCGTGCTCTCTGATGCTATCAAGGCCAGAGGTGGCAGCAGCAGCAGCAGCAGCAGCTGGGCAAGCAGAAGCAAATAAGTATGGGACCCCAGCGGAACGCAGAGATGCCCGAAGTTTCGCCCGTCCACGTGCTAGGGGATTGGCTAGAATTTGATCCAATACGCTTGAAGTTTCGGCATCGTGAGACACCCCTGTCCGCACTGGGAAAGCCTTGGACCCACCGTCCGACCTACCGCCCTAGACGTGGACACATACCGCAGGCGGGACACATGCCGTCTCCGCCAGATTTCGCGGCATCCATCTCCACCTCGCAGGGGTAGGGTGGAGGCGCAAATTGGGGATGGGGATCGGTCCGACGATGTTGAGAGCCTGAGCATCCAGGTATGCGTTTGGGAGTCTGAGTGTGCGGGGACGGTGCTGTGCCCTCCACAGCGGCGTAGTCGCGCACCTCCCTTGCAGTGCCAGCCGACCACCTCCATGCATGGCGGATCGGGGGAGGTGACGCAGGAGCATCCCGACGTGAAGGGGGTGAGCCATCGCACCTTTTTCCTCCGGCACACCAATTTTGAAGACGATGAGGGCGAAAGCCACTCCAAGGACCGCCCTGCGATGGTTTGCTTCTTCTGCTGGGGGTGGACGTTGTCTGTGCGAAGTTCGTTGGGCGTCGATACAGCAGACGCTCGACAGCAGCGGGTGTTGAACCATGACAGAAGGAGCGCAGTGGAGACAGAGAGCGGGAGGGAGCGGCAGAGGCAGCGAGAGAGGGAGAGAGTGTGCTACGCTGGTAGGATCGCGTGAATCAGCGGCCCCGGGGCCCGCCCACTCCCACGCGCCCTCCCATGATCAAATGCAGCCGGCCCGGATTAGCTGGTCTACCCTGCCAGCTCAAGGGTACCCCTGCGTCCCGTGCCTCGCGGCACGTGCCTTCTCACACTCCTATGGCGATGTGGCCCTCGGAAGGGTCTTGTGCCACCTCGCGTGTCCTCTCCAATCAAGTCCGACTGTATGCAATGCCGTTTTTCATTCATGCTCCGCGTGCGGATCATGTACTAAAAATGCAGGGATGTAGTATATTAAAAACAACGATGAGATCATGCATACATTCATTCATAAATGAACCATGTATCAAAATCCGATATGTTTGAAAAATCCTATGTCTTAGAAGCTGCCCTGTATGCAATGCTGGCACGGCTGGATAATGACGGGGACCGGCGCGCGCTCCCACGTTCGGCGGACAGGGCGTGCCGGGGCGCGCGCGGCCCCGCTGCTGGCGGCGTGGCCGACGAAGGGAGCGACGCACCGCACGCCGCTCGAGCAGCGGCGGGGCGTCCTGGCTCGCCCAAAGGGCCCACCGACTGCTCCTCCTCCTCCTCCTCCTCCTCCTCCTCCTCCTCCTCCTCCTCCTCCTCCTCCTCCTCCTCCTCCCCCTCCCCCTCCTCCCCCTCCTCCCCCTCCCCCTCCTCCCCCTCCCCCTACCCACTACTCACGTGGTTTGAGCGAGACGTTCTTAGAACCTTTCTGGCTGGGGCTGTTTGGTTCTCTCTATATCGGCTGTATGTTATGTTATTGGGTCTGAGATCCTTTTAAACATAAGAGTGTTTCGTAGTATGCCGATGGGAATGCCGGGACGGTTCGCCCCTGCTGAAACAGACGGAACTTGAACTCAGCGAAAATCTGTGCACGAGGTTGGGACGATAGCGCCATTGAGACTTTCCGCGCGCAGAGGAGAATGCCGACAGGATTGGAGAGGGCACGGCATGCGCCGCGCCCAAGCTAGGGCAACTTTCAAGCAATGCGAAATCGACAGCGACACTTCACTCTCTCGGGCGCGGACCCGTTTCCGACGACTTGGCGACGAACATTTTGCTCCGTCGGCAAGCGGAAGCGCAGTTTCCAATTTGCGCGTCACTTGGGCAACGCCGAAATTTCGCCCGCTCGCGCGGCGCCCCGCGTCCGACTTGTAGGCGAGCGATAAAGTATGCACCGCGCCCGAGCGCAATCTGTGATACAAAATGTGCGCGGCGCTGCAGCGGGAGCTGCATGCCGATATTTCGCTCGCGACGTGCGCCACGCCAAATTGTTGCCACGCGTTGCGAGAAGGATCACATAATGTCCATGCTGGGAAGGGCAGCGCCGATTTTGTCTTCGAGAGGCTTACGCGATTCCGCCGACCCCCAGACGAAGTGAGGCCTTGTGGGCGTCTCGGTGGGCTTCTTGAAGCCTCGTCGGAGTTTCCTGGGCGCTTGCTGGCTGTTTCTTGGACGTCGTCGCGCGGAAGGGATGCCTTCAAGTGCCTGGGTGCTTGGGAGGAGTGGCCGCTGCGCAGTCGATACTCCGCGCATGGGGATCACTTATCCTGCGCTTCTCGGGAGGGAGCCCTGAAACATGTTGTTCGTCGCGCGTGAAGCGAGATGCTCCGGACGGCCGAGATGACCTTCTCATCTTGGGATTCGGAAAATGCTGGAGAGGGAGGGGAATTATGAAATACATAAGGACGACGGTGAGAGGAGGGAGGAACAGGAGGAGGAGGAGGTCGAGGACACCAGGACGGCTTGTAATGTTGCCTGGGCTCTGCTCGAGGCTCCCCTCGTGCAGCTGGGGTGTGTGTTCGGGCACTCGCGGGAGATTCTGGGGGATCGGATCGGAGCATTCGTGAAGCCTCCTGGAGCTGACGGGGGCCTCCTCGGGGCCCGCTCTGGCGGCCCAGGTGGTGGTCTCCTGGAGTTGTGCCGCGGCTCCCGGCCGGGGGGGGGCGGGGCCCTTCGGGCTATAAGTTGATATTTTAAAATCTAAAGTTATAGGAAATTAACAGAGAATTAGTTAGAAATATTTATGTTGTTGGGGTGCCTCTTGGAGCTAGTCGGGGGCCTTGGGGGCCAACTTCTGGGCGCGAGCTCCCCCGGGCCGCTGCCGGCTCTCCCTCGCGGGGGCCTCTCTCGGGGCCGCAGTCCGGCTCCCTGGCATCGCTGGAACGTGTGCATTTTTTCCTCGGCGGGGACCATCGAGATGCATCCTGGACCATCGAGCAACAAAAACACGCACGAGACCGGAAAATGCACGGGAAATGGACGTCCGAGCGATGGCAAGAGTTCGTTTTTTTGCAGTCTTTGGGGCCGCTTGGGATGTCTTGGGGCCCTCCTTGGCTGCTTCGAGGGTTTCTTGGGCTGGCTTGGGCCGGTCTGATGCCCCGCTTGGGCCGACTTGAGCGCGCAGGCGCCAGAGAGCCGAGAACGCGAGAACCATGTAGGAGCGAATGGGACATCCATGTTTTTTGCCTCTCGAAGCCCTCCGGCGTCTTCGGTCATCTTGAGACGATCTTTTGTGTTCTTCAGGCTTCTCCAGCATCGGAGCTCTTCTGGGGCCATCTTGGGACGCATCTTGGGGCCTTCGCGGCCACGAAGGGTGAATTTGCATGCCAAAATCCGCATGTAGGAGGACATGCCCGACCTGAGGAAAGGGGGGAGGAGGACAACCAAGTGTCTCACACGCTTTTTTACCCCCTGCGAGAGAAAGAGAGAGAGAGAGGGAGAGAGCGAGAGAGAGAACGAGAGAAACAACACAAAGAGAAACGGAGCTGGAAGAGTGGGGCAGCGGGCAGCGTTGCGCGCAGCAAGCAGCAGTGACAGCGAGGCGGACAAGACAGATAACGCGGACACGAGCAGAGGCACACGCAAAGACAGCACACATAACGAGAGGGCAGCATAAGAGGTGGCGGCTGGATGTTCGTAAATGGACGGGGGACGAGAGCGGCACGAGAATTTCCTGTCTCCCCCGAGGCACCGTATCTTCTTCTTCGCACACCCTCCACAGGTTTTGGGTCAACGGTCGGTCGAGAGCAGGCGGGGCGCGAATGCCGAGTTACATTGTTGACGCTTCGCGTATCCCCACCAACATAGGTTGGCAGACTCCCATGTTCAGCTACCCCTGACATGGTGGGGGTCTTGCATCGCGCCATTTTGGCAGCGTAATTACTGCCCTGGGCTGTTTGCCGTCAGACTCCTTGGGGTCAGCTCCTGCACCCGCCGCCTGGCGCCGGCCGCGCTCGCGCGCGCTCGGCCAATTTGTAGCGGCCGC